CAAGGAAGGAGAAACCTGGCAATATTTGTTGAGTGCCCAACCTAACATTCAAATCAAGCATGTAAAGTGCGACATGAGCAAGAAAGAAGACGTCAGGAAGGCATTTGAAGAGATCCAATCTGGCGAATGGCCTCCCGTGCGCGGAATATTCCATGCAGCAGGAGTGACTGATGACAAGGCTCTCGCCGAGCAAGACAAGGCGTCGATTGAGAAGGTTTATGCTCCAAAGGTTGTGGGGGCCTGGAACTTGCACGAGGTGTGCGAGGAACTGGATTTGAACAAGGACCTCGAAATCTTCTTGATGTTTTCGTCAGTCGCTGCGCTTTTGGGAAACTTTGGCCAGGCGAACTATGCAGCAGCCAACTCTTGCCTTGATGCGCTCACTTCGTGGCGCCGGTCTATAGGATTGTGTGGTCAGAGCATCCAGTGGGGTCCGTGGGTGGAGCAGGGAATGGCAGCTGGTCTGCGGCAGCATCTTGACAAGGCTGGCATGATGGGAATCAGCAATGAGCTTGGAACAAGGATCTTGCAGGACGTGCTCAAGAGTCCTGGACAAGCCATCATCTGTGCCCAGGCTCTGATGTGGCGCAAGTTCCTCAGGCGCTACGCGTTTGACCCTCCACCTTTCTTCTCAGATGTGTCTACTGTCACAGCCGTCACGTTCAATAACACAATTGACCTGAACTCCATCAGTAAAGGTGCCCTAGTTGAAATTCTCGTTGATGTCGCGCAGGCTGTCTCCGGATCGGCAGAAAAGCCGAATGCTACAACACCGCTTATTGACTTGGGGCTTGATTCCCTAGGCGCAGTGGAGTTCCGCAACTCTGTTGCAGAAAAGACGGGCGTAAAGCTTCCCCAGAATCTAATGTTCGAAAACCCAAGTGTTGAGGACATTGCCGAATATATATTGAACAGGGCGAAGTCACCAGATGGTGCATCTGGTACAAGAGGGACACTAGTTGATACACTTCAAACCAGTATCGACCAGTGGCTTATGGCTGTGCTTGTCCCGGCAGAGCGTTATGCTTTGTATGTGGACTCACTTACTTCCGCATACGGATCTCTTAGTGACATGGCTGCTGTCGAAGATATTGTTGGTGCCCTTGAGAAACTCGAGGTTACAGCTTCAGAGGACTTTGACCGTTTGAATGTAGCGTGGCAAGAGCTCCGAGATGCATATGCTAACCGTGCTGAAGCCGCAGCAGCTGTTAAACGGAAGCCCCGCTTGGCGGTTCGGGTGCCTCACCCAACGGAAGATGTTGACTCTTTGATAAGCCAGCTGACATTCGATGTTCAGGCTCTTGAGCCCCCCACATCTCCGGAAAACTACACGACAGCGCTTTTGACTGGAGCCACTGGGTTCGTTGGCCGCATACAATTGTCAGTACTGCTGGAAGCATCAGACAAACTGGAAGTTGTATGCATCGTCCGCGCCAAAGATGCAAACCATGCTCTTGACAGGATTCGGCAAGCATGCAAGGAGGCCAAGTGCTGGAAAGAGGAATACTGCAGTCGCATTTGCCCTCTATCCGGCGATTTTACTCTTCCAAACTTGGGTCTTGGAGAGGAAAAGTTTGAGGAGCTCTCGAAGAAAGTAGATGTTGTTTATCACACGGGAGGAGATGTCAATCTACTCAGCAACTATGCCAGACTGCGTTCTTCAAACGTCCTCTGTATCTCAGGAGTAATCGACTTCTGCACAAAAAACAAGTTGAAGCCCTTGCACTTTGCATCTACTCTTGGGCAGTTCCCAGCCTTCTTTTGTGAATTCACTGGGGCATACGAAAATTACCGTATTACAGAAGACAGCCGACCTACCGTAGAGGAAATGGATGCCTTCTACCCACCGTTGCGAATGGGGTACCCCTGGTCAAAGTGGGCCGCTGAGTTAGTCTTGTGCAGTGCGCGGGAAAAAGGGCTTCCTGTGTTCCTGTACCGCTTGCCGAACACCTACGTTGCTTACTCGACGGGCTACACCAACCGAACAGACTATGCCACTGCCTTGATGATTTCAACTATTCAAGAGGGAATTTTCCCAGTTGGCTGCGCTGCTGCTCCACTGACGCCAGTTGATATCATATGCGAAATGCTGGTAAGCAGCCGTAGATACAAATTGGTCAGCAAGTGTCAAAAATAACGCGTACAGCTAGTATTTTGCATGAAGAAAGCCACAAATTCTGCATGTGCATGGTACTTACGACCACAGGTTGGAGTGTCATTTTTGAAAAAGCCGAAGCACTTTGTCTATCACCTTTTCGACCCCCGTGCCATAACAAGGTGAGTATTAACTGAGAAGGGCTATTATGCATTTAATGAAAGTGAAAGTTGTTGAGGTATAGGCTTCAGCAGGCTCACCTGCTTCTATTCCCTGTACTTGCGTGCAATCTTCAGGGAACATCTAGAAGTCTGGAGTCAAGAGCTTGGCCTGGCGTACAAAGGTGCCAGCGTCGACGAGTTCCTTGCTGCAGTGAAGGCTCGTGGCCCTGAATCCCCAGTCTTCAAATTTGTGCCTCTCATGCAGTTCATGAGAAAGTACTGGTTTGATTCGGAACAACGCACAGATGACTTCCCTATCGAAACTAAAAACATATTTGATGAGTTACCGGACGCCAAGTGGCCAGATCAAAGGGACGTATTCAAAAATTCACTGCTATATAGGTACGCAATTTTCTGCGGTGCTGACATTTTGAGATTGTGCCGCCACACCCCTTCTCTCAGGGCCATCCTGTGTAATCACTGTGAATGTGCCGGGCGTATGTGCTGTTCCCTGCAGTGTACAGTCAGGCTTTTTCCCCAAAAATTCCAAAGCGATAAGGGTTGATCCTGAAGCCTGTTTGGAAGACGCGAAGAAGTTGTCGGGCTTAGACACACTCGGCGAAGACCACGACTACTTCATGAACCCGTTACGTATCTTGAAAGACTCTCTTCTGCAGGAGTCCAATCCATCATTTTGCGGCAAGCTGGCCATGTTTCGCACTGTTCGCCAGCAACTGATGAATCTTATGTACATGGAAAAGATGAGGCATCAGCATCCCGAAATTGAGCAGCAGGAGATTAAGGAGCCACTGATAATTGTTGGTCTGAATCGGACAGGCACAACATTCCTACAAAACATTATGGCAACTGACATCTCGAACCGCTCAGCCCGTTACTGTGAGATGATTGCTCCCTATGGCAACAATGGTGAATACTGCCAGAAGGGCCTCAGCAACGATCCAGAATCGTGGAAGCATGTGAGTGAGACCACATCAGCAGTCTCTGTGATCACAACTGGTTTCTCCTTTTTACGCAGACTACTGCATCGTTGTCTTGTGCCGGCATTATGTTTTATGCAGGACCCGCGGATCAAGTTTGCTCAAGAGGTGCTCGATAGCCAACTAGCTCTCTCCGAGGAATGGATTAGCATTCATGCACAAAGCGCAGAGCTTCCAGAAGAAGACTTCGTAATCCTTGAGCACTGCGGCCGATGCTACTCAATATGCACTGAGTTCAATGTACCATCTTACCGAAAATGGCTGTATGCAAATGACTTCCAGGAGATGAAAAATGCCTACAAATTCCACAAGCGTTTCCTGCAGCATCTACAATATCAGCGGGTGGCAGATCGGTGGCTTCTCAAGATGCCATTCCACCTCTTCACTCTTGATGCGCTGTTTGAAACGTATCCAGACGCGAGAATCATCTTCATGCACAGGTACGGTTCCCGGCTTCGGGGCTTTCGATAAAGCTACCCGCTTACTCGCAGATGAGGGCTCTGCCTTCTTGATGATTATGCAGCTCGAAAGGCTCTGCCTGCTCGCTTCTTGCGTGCAGGGACCCAAAAGACACTCTAGCTAGCTGGGCTAGCTTGGTAAGGTGTGCACAGCAGTCCCTCCTTGATTCCGTCAACCCAGCCGAGCTAGGAAAACTCGAGCTTGAGGCAATGTCTTCAATGATTAATAGGGCACTGGAATTCCGCTCCTCCAGGCCCGATCTAGAAGATCAGATACTGGACGTGCAATACAAAGATTTGATTGAGGATCCGTTGGGCACTGTATCGAAGATCTATAGCCATTTCAACATCCCACTGACTGAACAGGCACGTCTGCGCATGGCTGAGTTTTACCAAGAAGATAAGAAGACACGCAACAAACTATCCAAGCACCAGTACACACTTCAAGATGTATCACTTACAAAGGCTATGGTGGAGGAAGCTTTTGACCAATACTATAAATCTGGATTGTGCAAGTACCTGAAGAAATAAACTAAATTTTTCCATTGAGCGGGGCAAAACTATCTTCATTGAATCTTGCATATTCTGGATACGACTGTCGTGCACTTAGCTGGCGCACACCTACCAACAGGCCAGAGCTCTCATTTATTCAATGTGTAATGCAAACAACAGTGTCAGGTCGAATATCACTACAGCACAAGAAGTAGTTACGTGTTGTTTGTAAGCATTATTAGAAGTAGTTGGAGTTTGCAGAGCGCTGACAAAATGCGCTCAGCCACATACACGACTGATACTGGCAACAAGCGGGCGGCAGACACCAGGCCTTATCACGGGCAGAAAATCAATCATGGCCCACAGTTAGTTGTGAACGCCTACGCTGTTGAATCCACCGTATTGCCAGCATCAACGAATAGCATGCAACCTTGCAACTGATAATGATGTGATTTCATTGCATGGGTAAAAATTGACAAAGCATTTGAATAATAAAAAGGGTGAATAGCCAAGGAAAGAGATATTCTCAAATTTTCCAATTTGGCCATTCTGAACGGCCGAAATTTCGGCAGAAACGCTATGTTTCACGCTGTGCAGATGAGGAAAAGAACGCATTCTAACTAGTAGCATGCTTAGTTGCTGCTTCCGTTGCAAGTGCAGCATGAGCTGCTGCTTCCCCCGCATGTGGCAGAGCAAACCTTGCAGCACGCTGCTGATTGTTCCCCTTGTTGAGCTCTGCTGGCCTTTGGCAGTCCGTGTTCATCGACCTCAACCCATGGCGCCTCTCCAAAGGTCTGAGTTTCCTGCTGCATACGGGCAGCCTGTTCAGCTGAAAGCTGAACTTGAGTTGGATACTGCATCGTCAGGTTGTGCATCGCTTTCTGGTGGGCCTCGAACCATTCAGGAGTATACATTTCATGAGTTGCTGTCGTTTCTTTCTTGATCCACTCATTCTGGAGGTACGTCATGTTCAGTGGGTGGCCAGGGTGCAGTGCCAGAGGCTCAACGCCTTCGCGGGCTTCGGGGTCGCTCAGTTCAGCATTTTCTTCGGTCCTCTTGATGCCAGGCTCGCCGAAAACAGTTCCTTCTGGGTGTTGGACATACGGATATTTGTCGCCTAGCTCTTCCTTTCGCTTTTCTGCTAGGTCGGCGTTGACTCTCATCCACATTGCGTGAACGTCCGCCTGTGAGAGCTCTGCAGGGTTAATCGGCTGTGCTTTCTCGACGAATTCGTGGACCTTGATTTCAACATCGCATGGTACAGGCTTGATGATATCCTGGACCTGCAGATAAGGCTTCTCTTTGATGCACTCAACCTCATAAACCTCGTTTGTCCAGCGGATGCGAGGGACAACACGGCGACGCACGGGAACTGGAACGAAGTGGTCTCTGAACTTCAGAACGGGAACCTGGACGGGGACTACGATGGGCTTCGGGACCATGTAGGGTACGGGCACGTCAACAGAAACTGGGACATGCTTTTGAATTTCGACAGTCTTAACGACTTTGGGCTTGAACACTTGCTCTAGACGGGGAGCCTGCATGTGCAGTAAAGCGCACAGCACCAAAAATAGATTACTCGCCTCCACCCCAAACAATCTGAAGAGCACGGTTGAAATGGTAACGTTACTGCGCGATGTATTTGACCCAAATTTTTGTGGAAACTCACTGGAGGCATAGGTACAGCTCCGGTAGTAGGCATGCCCATACGCTTTGCTTCATAGGCAGCCTGTTCCTCTGCAATTAATTGCTGGTACTCCTGTTCAGCCTTGTATTGGGCCTCTCTGGCTTCCCTTTCCATCTTCACCTCCTGTTCATGTTTTTCCTTCAGCCGTTCCCATTCCTCCGAAGCCACCTGCCCTTTAGGGACATACCTGTCAAGTTCGTAGTCAGAAAAAGCAAGTGAACAGTGCGTTTCGTGAGCCTTTCTAGCAGAAACGCTTTTGACAGCTGCATGCGTTTGTTCCTCCCTTTTCTGGCGCTCACCTGATAACCTCTTCGACTTCTTCGACATCCTGATAACGCACAACTTCCTTGACCTGCGGGACTTCGACAATCTTCTCGACGTACTTTGTCTCATACTTGGGCCTCTGAATAATATTCTCCTGCGTCTCGATCTTTTGCACATACTTGTACTGGTACTCCACACGGGGGAGCTCAACTATCTTGTCGACAACCTTGACCTCAGGTACTTCCACGATCTGTGTAAATGTGCAAGCGGAAAGCATGTCTGTGGGGGAGAAGGCACGAGGTTTAAGCAGAGATATGCTGCCTTGATGGCTTATGCTGAATCCCGTGGTTGCTCACCTTTTCCACATATTCTGGCACGAATTTAGGAACCTCAACAATCTTCTCCTCTACCACTACCTTTGGAACGTAAGTTTCAACGGTCTTCACGACAGGTACCTCCACAGTCTTCACGACGGTGTCAACTGGTTGGTATGCAGTGATAGCGACCTGCGTTCAAAAAAGCAGCACGCTAAGGCTCCACTTGAAAGGGTTCCACTTAGCGGGATGTCTTTCTTCACTGACGTGCCGCTTTTGTGGGGTGGGGTGGTGGCTGACACTTAGAAACTGCCATGTTGCTTTTCGTGCTACAGGTAGGTATGTTGGCTGGTTGAGCTGACTGCACCGCCTGCTCACGGACCCACAGCGTGTCCACTTTACAAATGTTAAAAAAAAATACATTGCTTTCTAGATGAGCCCGCGCAACAAGTTAGTTACTAGTTGACCACACGCACCGAGACTGCTCACCCATTGGCGTTCGGTTTGCTCAGAGATAGCAACTGCTCTTTCCCTTTCGGCTCGTTCTTCAAGAGTAACGGATCTCACAGACTCTGCGGTGGCGTGGAGATGAGCGCTTGAGGGAACATTCAGCTGGCCTTGTTGCCGTAGTTGATGCTGTTGCTGCTGCTGCTGCTGTTGCTGTTGTTGGTCCTGACTGCCCTCCCCACCGGGAGCACAGCAATCGCTGCAGCCAGAGAACATTTTGAACTAATGTATTAAATCGAAGGGAAAGGAGATGCGGCTCTGCCCATCCACAGGGTGCCCGGTGTTGCGGCTGCCTGGGTATCGAGCCACTTGCGACCCTGCAGCAGGCGAGGCCGTCAAGAATGGCGGAATATGGAGTTGAAATGGCTAAATATAGGATATTCTTGGACAATTCGTCCAATGATCTTCACAACAAACAAAGTTAGGTCAAATCGATGCCCAGAAAGTCTATGGCTGGATGCAGCAAACTGAACCAGCTGCCGACGCGCCAGCCACGGCCGGCGGCAGCCGATGCGCCCTCGAGCCGCCGCTGGCCCGTGCACGCTGCGCCTGCGGCATCGGCCTGCGCTGCCGGCGCAGCTTGCTATAGCAGCGGCTGACGGCTGGCAGCTTACTCGTGAGAAATGGCTCGACGGCGCGATCGATTCTGCGAACTTCATGTGTCAACGGTGGCTGTTCGTTGGGAGACCCTGGCCTGACCGTTGCTTTCACACTTCACCGCGGCATTGATTACAAGAAGATTTTCTTTCGGAAAAGGGATTTTAAATATCCCACGATAGATATTATTTGCCAACACAACCTTGTGTTCGGCTAGACCATTCTGCCAGCCGGTGCCGACAGGTCTCATCTGCCGTGACCGCTGGCTGGTAAGCAGCATTCCCTTTGACATTCTTGACACTCCATCTCCGTGATACAGTCCCTCTTAACATATTTTCGAGCTCTTTTCAAGCAAATTTATTGGACGAATTATCCTCTACCAAGCAGTGCGTCAAAATGAAGGCCTTCAGCGAGTGTTGCGCGCCTTGCTGCCCTGGCGACGCCGAAACGGAGCAGGCTGAACAACAACTTCAGCAGGGCCAACTACCTCCTGGAAGTCGCCTGGTTTCTGGAACTATTGCTCAGCAAGGAGAACCAAGAGTTCTGGAGCCTCTTGTTCAGGTGGGTGTTGAGCCCGTGATGGCCAGTAGTCAAAAAAGTTGAATGTTTTGCTTTGAAGCAGGGCCAAATTGCACTGTGTGCCTCTCTAGTTTAAAAAGATATTTTTTCCACTTTGCACCGCGATTGACACTTTGTTTGAGAGGTGAATTCCGTGTTTGCCGGCTTCATTGCTGAGAGCCGAATCAAAGTGGCAGCACATAGCTGAATTTTCGTGTGCACTGCCCCAGTGAAAGTTTTGTGCAAGTGCCGCTACAAAAGTTCGACGATGGCTTTTCTGATTTTTCTACAGGAACGTATTGTGGAAGTCTTGAAGCATGAAATAGAAGAACGGATCATCGAAGTGCCTCAAGTGCAATATGTTGACCGCATTGTTGAGGTCCCTCAGACTGTCGTGCATGAAAAGATTACCCATGTGTCCAAACCAGTCATTCAGGAGCGCATAAAGCACGTTCCAAAGGTGGTTTACCAGGAGAAGATAGTAGAGGTGCCCCAAGTCAAGGTGAGCTGAGAGTTTGAAGACCCGCAGGCGCATGGGAATAAGATGCGCTTTTCGTGAAATTCATAATCTTGCCTGAGGCGAATCCAAGTGGCTAAATGGATAAAATTTTAATGGCAGGGTCAGTTGAACAAGTGATCTCATTGAACACCTTGTACTCTTGCCCTGATATTCGAATGCAGGTGGTTGACAAGATTGTAGAAGTGCCCCAGTACGTCTACCAAGAAAAAATAATTGAAGTCCCACGCGTGGTAGTGCAAGAGAGAGTTATTCCAGTTCCCCGCAAGGTTGTGAAGGAAAAGCTTATTGAAATCCCTGAAGTGGAGTACCGCGATGTCGCTTTCGAGCAACCTATCGAGGTTACCGAGGAGGTCAAGGAAGAAGAAGTGGTCGAGAAAGCGTATACCCAAGTTGTGCAACGACCCTTTGAAATGGAAAAGGTTGTCGAAGTGCCTCATATTCAGCACACCTACAGGAATGTGATGACCCCGCAGTATAGGCACATACCAAAGCCAGTCGAGGTCCCAATGACTCACTACAGGCCCATCCCCGTCGAGAAACTTGTCGACCGTAATGTTCCAGTACCAGTAGAGCTTCAAATTGTGCAGGAATACCTATGCCCGAAGATAGAACCACGATACAAGGAAGTTCCAGTCCCTGTACACGTGCAGCGAACAATTGAACACCCGGTGCCAAAGGAAGCCATGGGGAACCCGCAACTCCTCCCCCTCTACTACCAAGGAAGCAAAGAGCAATTCAAGGGAAGCTTTCAGCCTGGCGGGGCTTGCTACACAATGTCCTCGTGCTGTGCCCCGAGGGTTGACCACATTACAGAAGCTACGGCGGGAACGGTCGAAGTGCTTGCTCAAGCTGGATACCCACAGCAGCACCCCATGGGTCCTCCACCTCCAGCTCCCATGATGGCCCAAGAACAGCAGCCCACGCCAGCAGATCAAGAACCAGCCCAGCAACAAACTCCGGACGCTGGTACAGAACGTATGAGTACAATGCAGCGCGAAATGCTTGCTGCTGCAGGCCGGCAAGCCAACCCGTATGTGCAAGTATCTGTCACTCCACTGGCACCTGGACAGAAGTCCGAAATAAACATACAGTAGATGCTTCCCCACAGTGTCGTGTACTATTTAGGGTCGCGATTGACTCAGCGTTCGGCGACTATTCCAGGTCGTTGCTCTTGCCAAATACCGGTACCCAATCGCAGGCCATTGTTCCATGTGTGCTGTAATACCGCTGAACAAAAACGCGCTCTGCCCGACCCCTTCCTATTCTTTCGAGGACGCTGTGGCGGGCAAGGGATTGTAAATAGCTCTACTATATACAGAATTTCTTGAGATGACTGCACGGCCACTTCTTTGAGAGCTGTTCAACGCGTAGCCATCACCAGGAAGTAACGTTCAACGCAGTGAGTGTAGTACGATTCACCTTGTCTGCGCGACTAGAACACAGCCTCTACAAGGACTGATGCGTGCACGTTGCTTGCTAAGAAACTGAGACGATATGCAGCGCTCCGATGTACAATTCGCAATATAAAGGCTCCCCACCTAATTTTTCACGTCACCTAGTTTCTTAAGCAAGATCTACTGAGTTGGAATCCGGAAGAACCACGGAAAGCTACTGAAAAATTTAGCAAAGCAGAGGTTCTTTTGCTCTGTCCGAAAGAGCTCATATGGCCGGAAGAGGAAATCTCATGACACACTTCAGAGTTTTAGGTGCCTACTGTTCGGCTGTTTAGGCGCTGAAATTGGGGATCAGCAGAGAACTGCTCTAGCTATGCCCTTCGCAGTCTCCATGCACACCCGGTCTGTGGCTACCGAGCTGGCTTATCATGCTGCAGTTTCTTTATTAAACCAACTGTGATTTTTCCTTAGCTGAAGAACAACCCGCTAGCACTTAGCTGGTCAGTTTAAAAAAAATGCGCAAGCATGCCCAGGTCTGCGCCGCTTATTGTTGGAGAGAACCCATGTGCAACTCTCCTAGGCGGCCATGCCCGGCTCCAAATGCTGCACGCCAGTTCCCATCAAGCAGTTCATTAAAGCAAAACGAAGAAGAACGCGGCGGGAATGGCATTTGAGGGCTTTCAGCACGAAATGAGCGTATGTGAATACAACCACTTCAATGGCGAATCTTAGTGCTGCCCATAGCAATCCCTAGCCCCTTTCACCTCAAAAAAACAAATTGCACGCAGATCTACTGCGTTGACTGACTGTTAGATGCAGCCGAACTGCATGCGCTGATCAACTAGGATGTGCAGTCCCTGTCTTTGGTGGCAGCCCTAGACAAGACCTCATCCAAAATGGACCCAGTTTCGAGTGGTTTCTCCAATGCCGTGCGAACACCGTCACCGTAAGCCGCCATCTACTGCTGTCTCTCCGTAGCCTGGGATATACGAAGTTAGAGCTGCAGATGGCTGCTCCGGGTGATGGTGCGAAGATCGCCTCAGGGAATTTCCCTTGCTGCGCGTCAAGACTTTGTATTGAGTTTACTCACTTCACTCATCCGGCAGGTCATAACCATACAGGAAGTCACCCAAACGCCGTAGATTTCTCCGTCTCCGGTTTTCGTACTTCTCCTGGAAGAGATAATATGCATGAAACGCAGCAAAGCAGCAGAATAACGCGTGCCTTAAGGGATTCTTGCGCGGTGGACCGACTGGTCGGGAGTTGGTACCCTTGCAAGGTGAGAATGAACGGCTCAGCATACGGCAAAAGCTGTTATTGATAATGACTGAAGAACTCGAATCCAGTGACTCGGGCCCATACCTGTTCTTCGTGCATCTCCAAGACCTCCCACAAGGGTCGCGACTCTAAAGGGTTTGGCTTCGATTCATCAAGTGCGCCAAAAAGCAAGATGTTCTCCCCGCGAATGATCATGACACCCTGGTACACGTCATTGTAAAAAGTATTGACGATAATTCGATGAACACATCCTTCCAGCATTAAGTTGCCGAATTGGTCAAATGAGCGCAATACGCCGATCAGATTCTTACCATCGCGCAAAATGACCAGGATTTTCTTATCTAGTTCTTCTTCCAAGCTTGTAATCCAATTCGGCGATGAATTTGGCTGGAATTCGTCGTAATTGTTTGCTGCTGTGGAGTCATTAGTGGCAACCCGCTGCTGCTGATCTGCAAGATGCTGACGGAATTCCATTTCGGGGTCCATGCTGAGGCCATGGGGGCAGATGACATCTCCCGACAGAATCAACAATACGCAGATATAGTTTCCTGAAGGGGTGGGAAAGGAGAAACCGTAGTGCCCATTCTAGGCGTTTTCATCTGGGTCCCCAGTGCATGCACGCTGTCCTAAAATTGCCGCCCCACTTCCTTCTGCTTGATGTCATTCCACCATTCTAATTACATTACTACATCACCAGCACATTCTGCACATATCATGAGCTTTAAAAGCGTTTAGGGTAGCTTGGCTTCACAGAATCGGAGGAGAGGCCGTCGTGTCGCAGGCAACGTTGCTGGTTCATGGGGAGGGTGCGGCCGCGACTCTTTAAGCATTCGCCCCCACGTACACTGCCCAGTGTTTATTTACGAGATTTTTGCACCTAAGGGGGAGGCGTCCGTGCAGGTGCAACGGAAAGTCGTCCATTCCACTTGTAGAGGGCTACCTTCCCGGCACCTCTGACCCTCCGTGTTTTTGATATCGGGGTATTTCCCGTAACATCACTTCTTACCCGGCATAAAAGCATCTGGGTGTAGTCGGTTGCGCTGCTGCCATGAGCAGCACGTGTGGTGCAGATACCCAGGCCGCACGGTTGTATGTGCCGCAGCCCAGTGCCCCCGTGCTGCGGGCGGAGAAGCAGCGTTTACCTCAACAGCTAGTGCTCGCCTGGGCCAGCTTGCCGCGGTTGGTAAAGTTTCAGAGCTGCATGTCTGGGCACAATGGAATATGATGAGCAGGTCTCAGCAAGGTTGGACATGAGCCTGGACGAGATCATTGGTCAAGAACAGCAAGATGGTTCGGGCCAGATGAAAAAGCGCAAAGCCAAGAGCGGATTTACAGGTGTCACCCGGCATACACTCGTTAAATCCTGTTGCCTCGCGTGCACATTCTTCGCTGGCCCTCACACACGGCGCGCTACTTAGTATTTGGCTTTGCTGTTTTCACAGGTTCTACTGCTGTCCCGCCTCCTACAACGCTTCCTTCACCGTATCGACCCCCACCAGCTTTACAGAGTGAATATGTAGGCAGACCTGCTGCGCCTTATACCCCCGCCCCTGGGGGCATCGGCAGTTTTTCTTCTAGGCCTGGACCCCCTGCAAGGCCGCTGCCAGCGCTGATGGGGCCCGCAGCCGGCAGGCTGCCTGCAGCTCCCCCTTTTGCTATGGGTCCTCGACCTCCTTTTCCTGTACCTCTTGGCCATCCCAGGATGGATGCGAGATGGCCGAGGCCGCGGCATCCAGGCGGGGGGTTTTTGGTGCCTCCAAACGGTGTACAGCCTCCACCTCCCCCCGTTGGGGATCCTTCTGGCGGACGTACGGTGTTTTCATTCTTTTTAGAAGTGAAATTTGTATGAAGATATGCTGTTCCAGGCTCCGTGGCGCCAAGGAGCTGTATGCTGTTGTTAGTGGCAGTCTCACGATGCGAAGTGCATTGCGTGCTTATTGCATGCAGCAGTAAGGTTGTTGTGAATTTGCGGCTCAGCTCCACGAGCTTTCCCCTTGCCTCCTCGGCCGAGTGGCACGGGCGAGCTCGAGTACACTCAGATGCGGCCGGTGGTTGGACCTTACGTAGACTCGCGCGCATCGGGTACAACTTTTGGTCTGTCGCCATGGCGCCTTTTGTTTGCGATGAAGCCTAAGCTTCAGTTTTGCATGTAGTTCTGTTTAGAGTGCGCTCTGCAGAAACTCACGAGCGTCCGTGTGTCAACGTATCACTGAGCTGTGTAGTGATTATCACAGGTCCGTCAAGGCCTGTGTGGAGGCGCTCTCGGTACGCGGATGAAGTGGAGGGACAAAACGGGCACCACTCGCCGCACAACCCAATGGCGTACTCAGTAGGTCTTCCAGCCTACGGGCCTAGCCGTAGTCCGCACCTTCTGGATGAGTCAAGCGGCCCTGTGCCAAAGCAGATGCCCTACGGATACGGTTCGAGGTGTCCGTCTACTGAGTACTATGGGTCAGCGTACCGGAGGGACCCGGCATTGGAACGGGGCTATGCTAACTCTGCTTCTCCAGAGGAGCTGGTATCCCCCTCGGTTCGGCGTGGTCCCTCTGGTGATCCTGAAAGCGTTTGGAACACACAGCCAACTCCAGATCAATGCGTCAGCGCCCGAGGATTGAGGAATTTCCCGGCCCGAGACGCAGACCTTCCATCTGGGGCTCGCGCTGGTGCTTGTTTAGCAGAAGGAAGGGAATTCACAGTGATAGTTTCAAATGTATGTCGCAACTGATGTCCTCAGTGAACTAGCGAAACCAGATGAAGTCCCTGAAGGTCTCGATTAATAGAGCTGCCGTTAGTGGCAGTTGCGTTCGCAGTCGCTCGGTTCTGTGATTCAGGTCCCCAAAGATCTCCCGGCAGTGGAAATCCAGGAAGCTTTCAGCTGTATGGGGACTGTCTTACGCACCGACATTATGCTCAATAGCAAGGTAGGCCTCCATCCTGGAGACGAAATGTGTGGGAGACGACCTGCCTTCTCTCCCACACATTTCCGGGTAAATGTTCCTGATTTTGACTTTCATGTACTGGTTTTCTCCTTTGAAAAATTAACGGCAATACGGCTTCACTACTGTTCGAAACTGCGATTCCTACTGCAGGGAGAACACACTGGCCGGGTGTGTATTGCGTTTGCCTCTGCGGAAGCCGCGAAGACAGCAGTGGGTAGGGAAGGTAGTTGCCTCCCGTCACGTTAAATTGCATATCAGTTGCGATTGTTATTTCAAATAGGATCCCCAGGGTGGGCAATTGTCTATTGGTGACAACATTGAAAAACTGTTTGTGCTTGCAGCACAATTTGACAAGGGCGATCTTAATGGAAACACAATTAGGGTTTTCGCGGAATGACTACGGAGTCGACTGGCCATCGGGATGCCGGAACTCTACGAAAGTACCCATTCAGAGCTCCCTTGTACTTCTGTTTCTGGCGCTACAGCAATCGCTGGTATGCGAAGTCGAGATAGGCCTTCTTTCGATGAATGTTTGTCCTCATCGACGAACAGTTCCTCTTCGGGGCGATGGAGTGGATCTGTGGCACTTTCAGATATTGGAAGGCCATTGTTCTCCAACGCCAAACCACGCTTCAAAGCAAACCGCAAAGAGCTGTGTTTTTCTTTACACATTGGCTAGACTGATGTGCAAACTAGTTGTAATTATTCTCGCCTTCTTCATGAAAAAGGACAGAACCGGGCGATAGTAGAGCTAAAACGACGAATAGCCATTCCCCTAAGGGCTTGGGGTACCCTCCTCCATCTCCGGGAGTTGTCTCCGGTGGTGGCGTCCTTCAGTTGTTATGACACTTTTCACGTCTGCTGCTGGTTGCGACACTCTCGAACAGCTTACACCCTGAAAGTAAACACTTTGCCAAGATACTCTGTTCTTGAGCTCTAGCTCCGCGAAGCCGAGCGACGAAAAAAAGCGAAGGAAGTCACACCCATGCTGCCCTTCGACGACTCTAAACCACCTATGGACACAGCTTCCACATGCGTGCTTCCCCTATCCATCTGTCGAGTGGGCCACATACTCTTTGTTATGCTGGCATCTAGCCACGGCTGCTCTCACTTGAAAACCCAAGGCATTCTTTACATTCACCGCTTTTAAGGTGGTTGTGATGCCCCGGGGTGTCCTAATAAATTGAGAGGAAGTGCTAGTCAGGACCAACACGGCATTTCTCAGTGTTGCTCACCTTGTGGGTTCCCCACTGTTGCCGTTTCCGCTTTCTCTGACCTATCGGATGGCACACTGGGGCGCTGTTCCACGTGGTCGGCCATATCCCGAAGAGCTTCAATAACTTCGTTTGCTACGAGCGGCGCTTGTTCCTTATTGGCGAACATTAGACGATCCCGCATATGCTGAATTTGCAGCTGCTGCATGGCAGTGTTAAAGTCTTCGTTGAGATGAAACGGTGCATTCCGCGCCTCCGAGGCATCAGACACCGGGGCATTGCCGGAGTCTCTTTGCAGCTGCTTCACAATTACCTGTACGAACTGCATATGAACGTTGGTGCTTCGAACTAGCGAATCAAAACAAGCCCGTGTTGTGGGGTCCATGCTACTTTCTGGTTTAAAGGAACTTTCTTGCAGATCCTTGTCAGACGGCCACAGGGTTTTAAATTCCTCTGCAATCCTCAGGAGCGACCGCTGGACTTCCACAAGCATACAGCACTGCATGAATTGTGCCATGAATGCGTAGTGAGTAGTAAGTCTCAGCATGTTATTACTTGGCTTCCCTCCAAGAGCTAGCCGAAGCTCTGGAGACGAAGTGGCGGACTTGCCCGTGGCTGGTAGACCAAAGCTGTCATGGGTGGAAACAATGGGCGGGGCCGTCTTCATAAACGAAGCTAGCAACCGTCGTTGCTCACCAGTAATCTCATCAAGCATCTCGGCACCTCCCTCTGGACAATTTTCGTCGTCGGGCTGAAGGGGTGAGCTCTCTGATCTCTCGCCTATCGCAGAGTGCAACAGAGCACGGCATCCGTCTGTAAAATTTAGAGACTCCGCTTCTGGCAACCACCGGGATGCCTCGCTGGTAGGCGTCGACAGGCCAGTTTGTAGATGCCTTGTCGGTGAGGCCTCAGACGCATCTTCAGGTTCTGACGAGGCTCTTTGTGTCTTGACTGGTGCCTTTCGCGGTCTCCCGCGACTGCGTTTATTCACTTCCTTATCAACTCTCACACCGTGCGATACCCTTTTGCGTACGAATCCTGAAGTAGGCAGTGCGCTGCTGAAAATCTCGTCCGGGGGAGAATGCATGTCGTCTTCTGATTTGCATGCATCCACGGTTGATTGTTGATGCGTACGATGACTCATTCCACGTGGGCTCACACTCCCTGGTTCATCATCCCTGAAGCGCAGCCAGCAGAAATCCACTCTTTCCCACAACATGCACAAACTCACTTCTTCCCATAATACGCACAAACCCACTGTTCTAGAGTCGTCATGCGTATGAGCTTCATGATTGAACGACTGTACAACCACGGCACTAGAAGGTATTCCCGCTGCGCCACATTACAACCACGTAGACTTCTACCGGCTAACTTCACGAATAAGCGCAACTAACTGGCCTACTCTCCAATGTCAAGGTCCTTGCTTGTCAGAGCATCGCACTTCTGTGTGAGCGCTGTGCATTTCAAAAGAAAGTCCCACGCTTCCGCGCCCATCAGGTGCGTGACTCTAAACAGTTCCTATAGAAGAAAGACAACCCAAAGCCAACTGACACTTTTACAGCGGCAATTCTCAGCTCCAAGCTTCTGATGCCAACAACCAAGGATACAGGTGCAATTTCCTGGCACAAAAGCATACCTGGACTGTGGCAAGCGTAAACAAATCCCTTCTGTAAAGATTATGTTCCTGTAAGACGCGCTGCCACTTTTCCGGGTTGGACCAGAAAACTCCTCGAAGCTTCCGCAGCAGAAGTCGGCGGCCATCGGCACCAACTGGCCATGCTTGCCCGTACGCCCATGAGTCATGCGAATACTGCTGGGGATTGCGCAGAAGCTCTAATGCAAAACTATTTCCGGAAACCTGAGTGTACGAGCACGAAGCACGCGGTTCAACACCTCAGGCTTTCAAAGTGGGAGCACAGTAAAAACTTTGGAGGTAGAGCAAGAAAATGTGTGCTTACCTTGGAGAGATCCACGGACTTAGCCTCTTCTTCGAATGGCCCAAGCTCTTCCATTTGTTTGTATGCGAGATCGTACTTCGTACGCTTCCGGCGGTTACGACCCCCGATCCTGATGACCCCTGCAGGAGATACGCTCTTCACCATCTGCGGGCTTGCCGACTCTGGAGAAGCCGCAACACGTTGGTGAACTTGCCAGCTATGCTCGCCTTCACGTGCGGCATTTGCATGTTGCACTGATGCGGCAGCACTCGACTGTGACGTTGGTGTGCCCGTCCCAGAGGTTCTCGCCTCTGGAGCCGCTGGGGCAGAGTATGACACATTCCTGGGCTCGTTCCCAATAAGTGAAGAGCTATCGCGCAGGTGTAGTCTCCCGGTGGGTAACTGGAAATCGCCGGCAGTTATTTCTAATTTTGCGCGACTTTCTGACATTGGAACGCGATGGCGTTTAGCTCCAACGGACATGCAGTTCCGTTGAAATTTCCTTGGGCTCTGCATAATATTGTGGTTGCTCATCCCGGTATCCTGTAATGCGTCATTGAAAGCCGATTTATCGCTAGAATTCGGCAAGCCTATGTGTATACCTAGCAGTCCCACGTCGGCTTTGTCCACAGATGATGTAGCATCGTGATTCACACGGTGTACAGATGCCCTCTTTTCCCTTAGTTGCCCATTTCCTTCAATGGATTCAGGAACACAGGTGCCCTGTGTAGCTGCGTCAGCTGAAAAACCAGACAAGTTCCCGTCCAGCGCCGGGTTTGTCTTGGATGGCGCCGGATCCAGGCAAGGGGCAGCGACGATGATTTGCGGAGCCGATGAGGCATCAGCATGGATCTCCGCTCTTATTTCTGAATTGCTTGATGCCAGCTTCGACTTTGCTTCGTCTTTAGATTGCTGCTGCATCTTCAGGACGACGTCCAAATGATGGACGCACCTTTCGGGGGGAGGGAGCTTTGCCCGTGGTGCTCACAAAAGTCGAGATACAAGGGTATCGCGCCGATGTGTGCTGAATATGTCTATAGGTGTATGCCAAGATATGTCCGCAACATGTAATCACGGGCGGTGTACGGGAGCGGTCTTCGGTTGGTCACGAGCGATAGGGGACCTGGGATGAAGCTGGGCGATAAGGCGGAAAGGTTCCACTGCTTTTTAGCCAAAAATCACAGGGAGAGCTGTGAAGTTGTCAGAAAAGACCCGAAGCACGAAGTTGGCAAAGTTTTCCGTACAGCCTGCAACGTGCAGACGGAGATGACACACCCCTCTATAGCATATCCATCAACTCGGGCTGTGGAGCTTGTCTCTAACTTGACTACATTGGCAGCACCCAGCTCCTGAAACTAGAAGATTTGTCTCATCGACCCCTATTCCATATTTCAGCTCCACTGATGTTTGACATCCCAAGCGCCGTGCGGCGTTGGTGACGACCCAAGCACGTCTACTACGCTGACAGCTCCACAGCCAAAACAAGCGACAATGGAATATAAGTTCTACAAAATATAAGCCACATACTGCAAGTACGAACACTGTCAAGGCTGCGAATCGAAGGTTAGCGCTCGAGCTAGGAAGACGGTTGTGGAAGACGGCGGCGACAGCGCGTCAGCTGTCAACAATCAAAGACTGACCTGAAGTCTTGGAGAAGGTAGAAGAAGTATATTTCTGATGGCTTCTTCAGCATTGCCTCTCTGCAACACTATTGGTAGTTAGTCATATCATTTACTTGCTTCGAAAGCTCCCACCACGTAGCAGCTGTCGTTGAACCCATTCAGCATGGCGCATGCTCGCTCGCCTACGCATACCGCAATGATTAGTTCGTACAGCTCGCTAAATCAGCAATATTGCTAAGTTTCCCAACCAGATATATGCTGCAAAATTTCACAGGCGCGTATTTTCGCGGCCGAAGCGGGCCAGTGGGATAATTGGGGTTGGCTTGCGCTAACCAGTGGTGAAGCAGCATAATTTCATTGTCTGTAACCATATAGTGACATCGAAATTTCACTTTTGCCTCTATCTATTGGCTCCTTGTGCATATACTCAAGTCGAAAATGTCCAACATCACCATCTGCAAGGGGAATTAGCGCCGTATCTTACCCCTCACTCTGCGTTGAAGCTAGAAGTTTTGCGGGCTTACAGTGATTCTCTGTCATCAACAGAGCTAGCTGCAGCTATACGTTGCACGCTCATCGGTTGACTCACATTTCTGCAGATCTGGGAGAGAACAATGGGCCTAACGATACAGTGCAGCTTGAAGCCTGAACGTGGTCACCAATGTGTGAAAGTTCGGTGCATGGCTCCCTCTAGCCAGATCCCATTGTATCATCGTGTAACACGGAATTTGACGACAGCATAGTTGCAGTTGCTCAAGCCACTGTACACACCACCGAGGAAGCTGCTGCCAACCGATGTGCATACTCAGATAGAGAGGCTTTCTCTTTACCCAAACGGAAGAGATGATTCAACGTAAATTAGTCTCCAGGTCGCATAAGGAGTGTTTGTGGAATGCGATTTCTTTTAGCTTGCAGGCGGTATAAGGAATCTTACGTAGCATGTCAGAAAGAGATGCTTTAGCAGAAAGGTTTGCAGTCCAGGGTGGCGAGGACACACACTGAGCGCGCATCAGCATCATCAAAGCTCACCTGGCTGACTTCATCTTTGACACAGCCGCCAGCTCCGTTCTTTCGAAATCCTGAATTTTCCTTTCCACTTAAGCATTCCAATTTTCTCCGCTTGAAGAGTCGCGCTATATTCATTGTGGAATAGGTTGGGAGTTGGTTCACGCTTCACCAGAGTCACGAGTCTGGCATTTCTGGCTTGTAGCCGTTTCTGCCATGCGCTTCTCCCTCGATAAGCTCTCTGATGTTCTCATGACCCACTTGTCAAGGTGCAGGCCTATCCTCCAGCTGTCCGGTAATATTGCCTGGAACATCCTGGATAACAATTGGGTTGGCATGCCTTTTTCCGTAGGCAGGGGACCTTGGCAGGCAAAAGAGCGCAGTGAAACAGCATTTTTGTTTGCTGGCGAGGCACTATGCAGAGATTGAAGAGGGAAGGAAATCATCCACGATTTCATCCGTCGCCACAACTGCAGTCCTAATGATGAAGGCGCCTTCTCAGCCGTGGTAGTGCTCCGCTGCTCTGGAACAGGTTCGTACCTCGGTTGGAGATGTGTTTTATGTTTGTGTACAGCATATGTTGATGTCTACCGCGTCCCCATAGATGTGTCTTTTGCACTCACGTAACACGCTTGGGCGATCCCAGCTCACTTTCACATTAGCGGAGCTAGTGAGCACTTCCTCTGCTTCGAACGAGGCGGAAACTTTGTTATTGTAGTCCCAAGGCAGAAGGAGCCGTTAGTGATTCGGGGATTTTTGTGCTTTGCTCTGAGCGAGCATTGTACCCGGACCCTAATGGTGCAGTCACGTATTCGGCTACCAGTCTCACAAAACGATACAGATGATGAAGACTCACTTTGGGCGAAAGTCACTTCAAACACTACACAGTTTGGCTGGTGGTTACAGTCCGAAGAGGGCAAGAGGCTGCCCACGCAAATACGTGAGGCTCTTAAGGCGCACAGGAGGGTATTCCCAGACAGACTACTCGCATTGATACCACAGTACCCCCATATGATACTAATATTGTCAGACATGCAACCTAGCAAAGCAGCCATATACCGCATGCCACCAGATCAACTCCATTCCCACGCAAAAAATAGCTAAACTTTCTGCCCACGGATGGACAAGCCAGACATATTCTCCCGACCAACATTGTTGAGGAACATGATGATGGCACTGAAGAATGAAGAATGTGTGTGGTACTCAATTGTCGAGGAAAATCAGTGGCAGCTTTTATAGCTGCCCTTGCTTTTCCTCTATCACCCATCCAGATTATTTCAGAGATTCTTGGGGAAGCAAAAATAGAGGCTTTTCCAGGACCGATGGCGAGAGACAACTTTAATCAAATTCACGTGGCCAAAGAGAACCGGAGGAAGGCAGCCTTTCACGTAGTCCTATGACTATTCAAGTGCAAGGTCATGCATTCGCCTTTTAGGAGCTCCAGCTGCCTTTGAATCTCACACCAGCCTTCACCTTCAACCTTTCTCGGTACAGGGTTTCGTGGTTTATCTGGACGACGTCGTTATCTTCAGGCCCTGCACTGCTGCCCATGCAGGCTTCTTGCGACAAATGCGTGACATCCTCCTCCAACATAAGTTGTAGCCGACGTTTCGTGAGTGCAAGCTTGCATGAAGCCTGCTCATGTACAAAATCTCCGCTCATGGTTCCCAACACGCAGCATGCAAAGTTCAAGCTATGCTTGCTTGGTCAGAGGTGCTGACCATCATGGCATAAGAATGCCCATTGCTTGGTACTGTCAACTGCTCATGTATGTTGATGGGTTTCGACTACGCCGGAGTAGCCCGACCCCTTTTCAGTCTGATATCAAAGACATACCCCTTCTATGCACCAACTAAACCTGCAACTGATTGATTATACTTCCCTGAAGGTCCCTAACAGTGTACTGACAATTTCCTTTATGCGCTAGGAACGGTTGTGGAACAGGAACACCAACAACTGGACTTCCTCAGACAGGTCATGACATCCGCTCAGCAGAAGTATTCGATATTTGACCAGGAACTTTTTGTATTGGTCACCGCCTTGACAAACGGACATACTTACTACTTACCGCAAAGGTTACAGCACACGTTGACAACCAACCATTTAATCACGTGATGCAGCTATATATTTCGAAGCCAAATCGTCATCATACTGCTCGTTGAATAGACTTCCTTGCTCCTTTCCAACATCTCACCATCATATACTCACCAAGTGCACGCAATCCTGTGGTAGATGACTTTTCCCGTCCGCCGATTTTCATCCTCCATCCGCACTCAGTGAACGTCTTGTGGATGCAAGCACTTCTCCTCAAACGAACGTAGAGTTGGCACTCAGGCCAGAATGACCTTGAATGCATTACGACGTGCCAACGCGCTCCACCATCTATCATGATCTAGCGGACGTACACACGAGAGCTTCTCGTCACCCAGTCCATGCCTTCCGATATCCACAGCACTCACGCATGGCACAACGCAAGACCATGACATGCACAGAATATTGCAGAGAATGAGCCCCCTCAAGGCGACGCTTAGCCCTTGCCGAACGTCCACTCCTTCATAATACAAAGACCACTTCACACGATGGACATCGAGAATTCCCTTTCGCTTAATACTTCGGTTCCAGCTTTCACGAGGTGCCCGGCCCAAGGCTCGCAGCTGCCGGGCATCATGACGAACCCATTTTATACGAGCCTCGCAACCGCTACCTCACTTCCGCTTTTGTAACGCTTTATATGCAACTTTAAATCGACGCCACTTGGACGTTTTTTGTGCCACAGTTCCCGGAGATCCTTACAGCCGTTCTTTATACCTGTCATAAGGTGATCACTCGACAGCGCGTCATCAGTGGCAGAAAAATGGCATCCTCGCTCTCTAACAACAATTTCACTGCCCTGGGATGCGCAACTAGACTACGGCATACGTAAAATTTTGTCTCTGTCGCCGTGCCATCAATTCTCTTACACACAAACCTGCCGACCTTCTTCAACTGTTACTCATTTCTTTCTGCGGCTGTAATCAGATCAGGCTTGATTTCTTACTGATCTACCTCTCAAAGGTTCGGGGTACGACTGTACTTTATTCATTGCTGACACTCTGAGCAAAATGTCGCACATCATCTCAACGAAGTAAACGGCGTCAACAGCTCACACCGTCGAACTGCATGCAGACGGCTTCATCCGCTACCATGGCCTCGCTGTGGTCGCCACTTCCGGCCGTGACTCTCGTTCTCAGTTTGGTTCGTGGCAATAACTATGCAGCCAATTTGATATTAAACGCGTCATGCCTTCGGCTTGCCACCCTCAGACTGATGAGCAAACAGAACCAGGCAGCACCATTCTGGAACAAGTGTTACTTACATATTCAGCCCAGCAAGCCAAGGTAAAGATCCCGCGCGCTAGGGATCTGACACTCTTCAACAGTGCTTACTTCCTCCAAGGTTACGATAAACCATAACTGCATTACGGCTCCTGATCTTGATGTAATTGGTCATCCGGCCCTTCTAAGTTTTCCGATAATCAAGCTCTTTGGACAGCTTTGTGGGCGTGCGCTAAGTCACATCTTTCTCGGCAAGCGGTAAAAAAAGGCACACGCTGTTTCCGTACGTCGTGCAGTCTAAGACAGTGACAGTGAAACGGTATCGCTCAGCAGCAGGCACTGATCGACTCCCAACGCATGCTAGCAGCTCGAATCGCGCTTTCTACAGGTAGTATTTCCCAGACTAGAGATTCGTGTGCTGAAGCTGCGATAGGTTCTGAGCTGCGAAGCCCGCAATATTATTTTTTGGGTTTCCCTTATCCGAAACTCATCGGTAGGCTTGTCGAGCAGGAGTGTTCAAGCGCAGTCACTAGCTTGCGAAGCCTGCCGTATGAAAGAAGCCATGTTGTATCACAGGTAATTAGTTAGAGGGAAATATCAACAAATTCCAACTTTTTGGCATCGCCTTCGAAAGGCAAAACAATACACACGTTCATACGAGCTTGTTTCAAGCTGCCAGGTTGGCTACCACACTCGGGCAATTCCCCAGCTTCAAATATAGAGTGATGGGAAACAGCGACGCAAGAGCTGACAAAGAGAGAAGAAGTTAAATATTTCCCCAGTAAGTAGCCAATTAAACGGTTGACTGAATGCAGAAAAAAATTAGACTGGAAAAGGAGCTGGAAAATCTACACGTAGCATATTCTGACTGAATAGTGTCGGAGTGGCTGGGAGCACAGAAGAAACTCAACTCCTGAATCCAGTTATAGGAGAAAAATAAACGCATGGAGCCTTGACACACCTCAGAACATATTCGAAAGTGTTTCAATGCGGTTTTCCTATGACACCCCGCGGGGTGTCGCCGAATTTACAGGGATGTCTTGGCGAAAACTCTAAGAGGAAGCTTCGAATTATACGCAAAATGCCAATGAAATGCCAAGCATTCAATTTGTTTTCCACTGGAATGTTGTGCAGCGTCTCAGGTGGAGAAACAATCCACCCCCAACTCTCAACCTCACATGAGCAGTCTGACCACGGCGTCAAACGTTCACTTACTGAAAAGACATAATACTAAACGGCAATGCACTAGTTTTTCAGCAAAATGCCGGTGTGAAGACGCAGCTCATTTCGTTTCGACTCGTAAACACACGCAACCGGAGGGGCCGTATGCAGGTGGGACAAGGATATTTGAGGATAATAAAGGCGCAGTTGCTTTCAAATGTAATGCTGCAGTCGGCAAGTGCTTCTGTACTTCCATGAGACTAATACATCTGTGGGCTTTTTATAGCTCTATAAAAAGGAAAAACCGTGCAAGATGGGAAAAGCCCCAAGATGGGGCACCAAGACTGTCTAGACACCGCTCACCTGGGGTTTGCGTGGGGTCGAATGCAAGCGTCTCCACCTACATATCTGCTGGGTCGTCTTCGCCTTCATTTCGTCTTTTTTTTTGCTTACGGATGTTTCACTAAAGTGGTTTTAGGAGTTTTAATCCATACTGTTTGCATAATGACCGGGGAAAGTGGTGTTGCTGGGAACTGCCCAAAGGTCCCCTCATCTCCGCAGGATGAGAAGATGACTCGCCGAGAACATTATATGGCCTTAGCTGGTTGCGCCTTAACGGGTACGATGACCTTAATCCCGTTTCAGTTCGTCGCAGTAATGCTACCTGTTCTCTCGAATCACTTCCTTGAAGGAAAACAGCTGGGCAACTCTATGCTTGGGTTGTACCAGCTAATATGCGTGATCAGCCTTCTAGTAATTCTCAAGATAGGAGCTCTCCACAAGTGGCTTATTCAAGGGGGGCTCTTCTTATCATTGGCGTGTATGGCCGCTTTACCTCCAGTGTTCTTCTATGGAGCACTAAACTGCCGTATTGCCTTTGCTCACATAATTCTAGGCCTCTTGGGCGCATGCAACGGGGCTTTACAGTCTTCTGGGTTTGCTAGAGCGGCAATTCTGCCTCGGAATTATGTCGGCACAACTTCTATAGGACAGGCAGTTGCAGGTTTAGTGGCCTTCGTCGTTACAGCCATCCTTATGAATGGAGTGTTCGACATGGACAAGGAGATTGACGTGAAGTGGTTTTGCAGCATATGTTGCGGCATATCGGTGCTACTGTGCGTTCTTTCAATGATGTACATGCACTTTTTCCTGAACGCGAAGGTATGCGTACAGTCTGTGAATAACGCGCTAGAAGGTAAATCAGATGCAAAAACTGTACCAGATGACACTCCCACAAGTGTTGTTGATCTGGAGGAATCGAAGGTCAGACAGAGCAGTGGACCTGCCGGCAGTCAGGACGAGTCGCTGTTACCGCCAAGACCTTGGCTGACGATGATAAAGGGTTCATGGTGGGAACTGCTCAGTCTATTTTTAGTGTTTTTCATAACATTTTCTCTGTTTCCCAAAGTTGGCCCCGTTTCATTCAACTTCGAAGGAAAAAGCCCATCGAAGATGGTGTTGCTTTTCGGCATGGAATTTGTAGGCGATTTCTTGGGCCGATCCTGTCTAACACTCCCGAACTTACATTCCGCATTTGGTTTTCTGTTTCTTCCGCGCAATGGCACCATCATTGCGTCGTTCTTGCGCCTAATCTTTTACGTCCCCTTCCTCATGGCCATGAAGATGGAGAATGTTCCGTTTATAAACAACTTCGTGTGGCTCATGATCATTCAGCTTCTCCTCGCCTTCACCCTTGGCTGGATCGGGACTCTGACTCTCATTCACTGCTCCCTATCTGTTACCCGAGTTTCCGAAAAGGCTCGCATGGGATCTCTTTCTACTATAGTTCTTGCTGTAGCCATAGGAATTGGCCTATATGTTGCTTTGGCATTCTAGGACTACGTTGGACGTGCAGACCTTCGCCACGTGGTGTCAACAGTTTGTTGGGACCAACTACGGCCATGCTCCGCGCGTTTTGTCTAGCATGTGTTGGTAGTGTCGGTTTGGTGAATCTGAAGTCTGCACTGGTTCCATCATTTCGTACAGCCGTTGCTTTGTCTGGTCAGATCTTTCGCACGAGTTGCGTGCCTTGTAAGCTGCTCCAAAGTGGGATACAGCTACATAACTCCCAGTTGCAACCTGACCAAGCAAGCGCTGGCGGTTTCGCCCAGAGGCGCTGGTCCAAAGGTGCAACACTGCTCCTAATAAATCCAGTGGGCAAGTGGACGTGATCAGAATTCCAACAGCTTGGACTTCAAGGTCGCAATTATAAAACCACAAGCCTTTAAATTGCGCAGCCTGTGCACATAGAGGTGTGACTATCAAGAAACAACCAATTCAGTAGATCGGTAAACTCTGCATAGACGTATAGGGGCACTCACTAGAAATCGAATATTCGGTGATTACTGCGAAAGCCTGAGCAAATGAAACTTATTAGGCAAGGTGCACTATTCTCATATTGTAGAGAGATATATTGCAAGGGTCCCCATTCATTTATAGCGGAGTCTGCTGACTAAAGATTTTGCATAGATATAGCGCCTGCGTTCAAAGTCTGCAGTACGGCTCTTCAGAAGTCTGCGCGTCCCGCAAATCGCCACTATGTAACAGAACCCGAGGCTCGATGCCACTGTTTCTTTTGCTTATTTGGCAATCTGTTCCTCGTCCCACCTCAAGATCCACTGCGAGCAATATTTTGCTCTGGAGGGCTTCTTACTTCTCGGACTTTTAGATCACTTGGAACTAAAGCAGTCGACCCGGATCTGCCTAGAGCGTTCGCAGACCTTTGCATATCAGATAGTCTGGATTTAGTGTTTCTGCTTCGTGGTAAGCAATTAGCAGTACCCTTCTGCCTACAACTCCGTGAATCTAAAGGGTTCAGCCTGGTGTCACACAACGCAAGCTTCTTGAATGGGTTCTCAGCAGTCCTTCACTTGCATCAAAAATTAGACGGAAAGGAAGAGGTCTCAGCTAGCAGCAATATCATGGGGCAGCGTCTCCCTCGAAAAAAATTCGTCCTCAAAAACTCTCCGAGCTTCCCGAAAATGAAGCAGCAACACTTCTTGCTGCAGCCGTCATCTGTGCAGCCGTTGCAGCAACGGCTTCAGCTTGAGTGACTAAATTGGTGACAAGTAAACGCAAGCCTTCGCTTGCATCCGTACGCCGCTGCTACATCTGTTGCAAAAGCTCCGCCGCCCACTAAGCTCGTGCTGTTCTTGCTCTAACAGCAACAGCAAGTGGTAGCACCAACAAGCTGTGTAGCATGGCTTGCAGCCTTACTTGTCACTAATATTCATACAAACCGCTATTTACGGTGGAGAATCCGACGGCCTTGCGGCTGCTTTTGCTGCGGGAGCACCAAGATCACTTCCGTGGCCACTGTTCGTCACCCCTTCGCCGCTCGAATTTTCTTTCTCTTCTCTGCTGCCCTTGAAATTGTCAGGCTGGGAACTTTGCTGTGGCCTTTCTGCTGCAGCAGCCTCCCCACTCCCTTGTGAAGCCTCCTGCTGAGGTCGCTCCTGTTGCAGCAGTAGCTGCAGAAAGCACAGCCCAACACTGCAAACGGCGCAACCTCAGCAATATTCATGGCAGCAAACTGGCAACAGTGGTTAAAAGTGGAAAACAGAAAAGGAGGCAGTATAATCACCTGCTGCACTGCTAGCAAATGCGCTAGCTGGGTCTTCGCATGTCTCCCCGACGCAGATGACTTCTTGCGCTCGCGCTTGCTTGTGGCTGTCTGTTCTCAAATGCACGCTCACATGAACCAGCCACAATGCACCCTCAGCGCAGTGCACCCCCGACGCCTATCAGACTCCCTCTTCCCACTACAGCAACACCAGCAGCAACGGGCCAATCCAGCTGCAAAATTAATAAGAATTTACAATGCTTACCCGCCATTCGGCTGCATCTTGAAGAGCCGCCACCTGTTGCTTGGCAACAAGCAGAGCCTTCGCCTTGTCTGCCGTGCTGAGCAGTGCCACATCTTCCAACTTGAGGGAGAGCAGGTCGCTCGTTAGGGATGGGGCCTCCCTCTGTTTAACAGAGGGGCCCCTGTCTGAAAGAGGGGCTGCAGTAATCCCCCAAGGTGGCCTAGAACGCGCGTCATTTGATGAGCCCCCAGACGGTGGGTCCGTTGATGGCGGAGGTCCCGGCCGCCACAGTCCCGTTGAATCTCCAGCCCATGAGTGACCTCTAGAAGACGGTGTAGAAAACCCATCCCACTGCTGCTGCTGCTGCTGCTCCGACACCTTGAAAGCCTCATCTGGTTCCTGTCCGCCAGCGTCAGATCCCCAAGGAATAACACGGGGGCTCCCCGGAGCGCCCCCAACAGCCCATTTAGGAGCTGCCGCTTTCCCCTGAGGGTCCTCGGCCGGCAGATCAGAGGCCAAGAGACCCCCCCACTGAGGCGTCAACTTTCTATGCTCTGCAGGCTGCTTAGGAAGCCCACGAATGTCATCAATGTGACCGCAGCTTTCTCCTTGTGCTACTGGTGGTGTCGCTGCTGCTGCTGCTGAAGAGGCTCTCAAAGGCTCCTCCAAGGGAGCGCCTACGCGGACCTGACCCTCAGAGGGCGCCTTCTGAGAATATGCTCCTCTAGAAAACGGCGAAGACGGCCTCGCTGCAGCCGACGCTGGGCGGGGGACTACAGTGCCAGCAGCCGAAGGCGATGCTGCCACTGCTGCCGATACCATTGCTGCTGGAATGGGGGTACCTCGCGTTCGAGGGGCACCCACAGACGTAGGCGTTCCAGCTGCAGGGGCCCCCACTACGGCGGCCCAATTACGCCTACCGGGGGCCCTCTGAGGTCCTTCCGCCTGGCTTTCTGAGACTACCAAGGCCCCACTGGGAGTAACTGGAGGAGGAGGAGGTGGCGGTGGCTGCTGAGGGGGTTCTGGAATGCCCCATGAAGGCATCCCTAAAGCCCCTCCCGTTTGCTTGGACATTCCATCGCGGTAGCGAGCATTTCTGCCGGAGGCAGCAGAAGGCGTCGTCACATGCAGCCCTAAACCCTGCAACACCGCATTGGGGCCCATTCCCCTTGGGCCCCTTAGAGGCAGTGATATCCCTCCACGAGAAAATATCCCTCCCGGTTGGTGCTGCTGCTGGTGGTGAGTCCAGGTGCTGGGAGTGGGTGGGGCCCCTTCTGCACCCCAGTGAGGGCTCTGAGCGTCAGCCGTCGGCTGGGGGAGCTTCCGTGGAATTCTCATGCCTCTGGGCTGCGCGCTTCTAGTGTTGTTGATAATGCTGCTTCCGGCGGATGCTGCAAAGTTCCAGTCACCAGAAACTCTTCGATGCCTCTCGTTAAGAGGCACTTCCCCCATACTTTCGGGAGCGTCACTGGCTACAGGGGCCTGTGCATCTTCTCGCGCAGGGTCCCCGCCTCCTCGGTGGTGCTGTTGGTCTTGTGGCCGCCCACAAGGTGGAGGAGAAGCTGATCGGCCCTGATGGCCTGTCAGAGCCGCAACATAGGAGCCGCCACATGCAGGGATATCTTGCTGCTGCAGCAGCTGGCGCTGCTCGAAGCCTACAGCGGCAGCGGCTGCTGACCGTTCCCCAAGAACTGCTGAGTCGGTTGTGCTGCTGCTGCTGCTGTTGCTGCTATTGCTGCTACTTCTCCGTTCCTCAGCAGATGCTGATGCATGCCTGGGAGCGTTCAGAGCGCGCTGAGGCTCACTAACGTCGCCCATAGGCGCCGAAGTACTCCAGCCCCCGGGCCTCCTTGGAGTCCCTTGGGCTTCTTTAGGGATGTTGGGACGCGGTCCCCCGAAACCTGAATTCGACACGTATCCCCGACCTTGCTGCTGCTGCTGCACCCTTGCTGCGACGACAGTGGAAAAGGGGGGTAGATGGCGCCCGTGCTGGTAGCTTATGGCACCCACCGAACCTACGGGCCCTCCTTGGCGGGCCGCTCCTCTGTGTAGGCGTCTCCTGCTGATGCCTCCTACGGGAGACAAGTCAGCAGCCGCTGCAGCAGCAAGCGAAGGAGAGTTAATGTCATCTCCACGCCAGTGAGAGACGGCGCTGGCCCCGAGAGGGCCGCCTGCTGCAGCTGAGGAAATTCCCTCCAAAGGCCCCCCAAACAACGCCGCCTGGGTGGAGAACGGCCGTGCAGTTTGCCAGAAAGGGTCTCTGCTTGGAGGAAGTGCCTGCATATGATGGTGCTGCTGCAGATGCTGCAGTAGTAAGTGGTGCTGTTGGTGCTGCTGCTGTATGCTGTTTCGACCCCCCGTAGCTCTATGGCGAGTCAAAGAGAATGGATGCGTCTTCCTCATGCGGTCGTTGTAGGACCCGCGGGAGCCTCGCGGGGCTCCCTCAGCTCCTGTCCTATGCCCCCCTCCCCGAGCTTCCCACGGGGTGCGTCCCAGGCTGCAGGCACTCCTTGGTGACCCGATGGAAGGGGGTCCGGCAGCAGCTCGTACATCATTGGCGTAGCTGCCAGCGCTACTGTTCCTCCTGCACCCCCGTGTGCAGTACGGGAGAAGTATCTGAATGGTGATTGCCGCTTCTGCTGCTGCTGCTGCCTCGATTGGCAGTACAGCTACTTCAGACACACCGGGCATTGGCGGCACTGGCCTAGGCCCTACCCAGCCTTCTTCCGCAACTCCTACTGACGCGTCACTGCTGCTCGACAGGGGCACAGCACAGTCTTCCGCAGCTGCTGCTACTGAAGAAGCAACAGGCTGATGGCTACAATTACAGAGACGAGATCCAAAGGCGTTCAGAGATGCACATGCATAATGGGGGCCACCCCTCCTGGAGGTTGCCCGGGGAGGCCCACAGTGACTGCCATCTCCCGGGACTTTGCACAGAAGCTGACACAGAGCCAACAAGCCCCTCAATTCTTCTTCAGCAAGCCTCAGATTCAGTTTATGCGCGGGATGAGCCAGCTCCTGCTGCTGGTGCTGCTCCCGTTGCTCCCCATATTGCTGCCGAGCAGACGAGTGATTTGCCATCAACGGAGGAGCTGACGCCCCTTCCACTTCAGGAGACCCACGAACTTTCTCGTCAGACCTTTCTGCACGCTGTCCGCTTTCACCTGCCTCAGCCACTCCACCATGCACTGATGCAGTGGTTGCGGCCCCTGAAAGCCCCTTAGACGACAGTTGAGGCTTCTGAGAATCCTCAGAAGGCCCCGGCGGCAAGCTCCCGGAGCTTACACGGGATTCTGAGGGGGCCTGACCATCCGATGCACCTAGCGACGCCCCTGTTTTCGAGCGTAGGCACCTTAAAAATTCTGCATAAGGGTCTCTCGTGGGACAGGGGACCTCATCGTCTTCAAGAGCTCCCCTGGGGTACTGTGATGGCCCCTTGCTCAATCTCAGCAGGATTAGCGGCTTAATCTGTGGCTGTAGAGCCTGCCGGTGTCGCAGGCGCTGAAGGTAGCTGTAGCTATTCTTGAAAACCAGGGACTTGAAAGCCTCCCCGTCTCCTCGCTGTAGCACTGCGGTGAGGGTGGCATGACCCCTCTTCAGAGCATCTACTAGTCTGATAAAGGCGGGCTCGCTGACACTCCTGCCCAAGTTGTTTGTGTTTAACAAAGGGTCCACCACATTGATGCAACGCAATGTGAAGCCACCAGCGGCCCCAGCACGGGGCGGTGCCCGCGGGTGAAAAGGAGGAACAGAGAAACCACCCGTGAACCCCCGAGCACCTGACTGAGACCAACGATTCATCGGAGTCGCTGGTCCGCTTACGCGCCCACTGCCACTACCGCTGCTGCTGCTGCTGCTGCTCACGGGAGCAGTGGGGGAGCTCGGATCGGGCCAGTCAAAAGACTGGCCGCTTCGGTAGGCCCCTGGAAAACGTGAAGTGCCCCCCATGCCTCCGTAGCACATGCGAAAACTGCAACAAAACACAGTGGCAGCAACAAGAAAAATGAGCGAATGGTTTGCATTTTCTGATTTGAAGTCTGTAGGCCTGCAAAAAAAAAGAGCAAGCAAAGACAAACACAAAACAGGAAGACCCGCAGCTGCAAATAATACAAGTTGCCCGACTCACCGCCTCCTGCACTCTTCTACAAATGCAAAATTTGCTATGCACTTGCAAACGTGGCTTGTGACTGCGTCCCGCGGGACCCCTCTTTCAGGCTGTATGTGTTGGGCGACAAAGGCCAGGCGCTCCAGTCTCGGGTCTCCATCTCTGTGGTTGCCGCTGCTGTGTTCTGACATTTCCAACAACTCATTCAGAAACGGCATCTGCTGCAAGTGCAGCTGCTGCTGCTGAGGTTCACATCCTTCCTGCTGCAGCTGCTGCAGCAGCATCGCCTGCTGCTGCTGTTGCTGCGTAGCGAGGCGCAGCAGCCACAAGGGGAGGGGTCCTGCCGCAGTGGCAGCGAAGGCAGCCCAGTCAAAACTAGAGAAGTAGGAGAGGAACGCCTGGAGAACCTGGAGAGGACTTTGAAGCCTTGCGGGAGGAAGGCACGAGAACAAGTGCAGCACCAGCACCTCCAAGCAGTATGATGCCAGGAGACCCGACCGGCTGCCAAGTAGATGACTCTCATACGCCATCCACGCCTACAAACAAACAAATACTCGACAGAAGAAAATCAAATTTTCCAGGAGCCGCGCTGACAAACAGAGTTCCGGCCATGGAGAAAAGACAGCATGCAAAGCCACCATGGAAGTAACAACAGCCGCAACACCTGTTTCGAAACAGCTCAAGTTGCAACAAGAACTGCTGTCCAGACGTGAAACCATTAAGCGCAGCCTCAGCACTGCCCCGCTCTCAAAACCAGAATTGCATGACCCGTTAAGTGGGCTGTTGTGTATCCGCAAGACCCGCTAAAGCGAAGCGAGCCCTGACACAGGGCCACCGTCAAGCAGAGAAAAACAAATTCAAGTCGGTCAATGGAAGCCTTTACAGCAACAAAGAAGGAACACCTCACCTTGACAAGGATTACAGACCGCTTGAAAAGGTGGTACCGACCAATACGGCGGTCCAGTAGCTCCAGAAGGGCTAAGGAGCAGCAGCCACCAACCTGAAGGCAAATTAAAATCGAAGAAGCACATACATCAACAAATACAACAGATAAAAGCCAGGCATGTATAACCCCTTTCCCTTGCGGGCAGATTGGCTCCTTCAGTTTCTCCTTTCTTCAGGAGGCGTGTCACTAAGCCACCCCTTGCAGCACTCTGGGGCATCTTTTCGTGCTCTTTCAGACTAGGGCAATCCTTACTTTGTTCACTGACAAATCCACAGCCAGGCTGTCCACTTCAAGCTTCAAAATCTTCACGTCAGCCTTGACCAAATGCACGTTCCGTATGCGGGGGCCCCGGCTTCCCCGCCCCCCGGGGCCCCCCGGGCCCTTGGGAGCATCGAGAGTTCCGGTGACTCCAGAAGAGTCTTTGACCGAACCCTGGGATTCAACTTTCAGGTCTCCCCGTCTAAATCTCAGGTGGAGATACACCAAGAACGCCTCACTCTCTTCTTCCCCCTCCACCACTCCCGTCTCGGGAGAAAATGTTATCACGCCAACATCCAAATCCCCGTCTGGCAAATAAGTCAGCAGAGGAAAGGATCCGTAACGCAAAACAGCCACACATATGTCAGACAAACACCGCACGCTGCTGTTGCTGTTACTGGTGGCGCTGCTGCTGTTGCTGTTGCTCCCTCTTGACACGTTGCCGCTACTGCTACTACTGGGCACGTTGCTGGCGCTAAGGCTACCGCTGCTGCTGCTGCTGCAGTCGCAGCTGCTGCTGCTGGGATCTTCCGTCGAGGCCTGAAATGACGAAGGGAGCAAAGAAGAGTTATCAGGCACAACGCCAGACAATGCACCTGCACCCCACTCTGGGGCAGCTGCTGCTTCTGCTGTAGCTGCTCCTGTCAGCGCTGCTGCTGCAGTGGTGGGCGAAGGTGACGAAGACACCGAGAAAAAAGAGGACGGCGAGTCAGCGCGAGCCCTGCAGCAGCTCGAAGATCCCCTGCAAGCACGTCCTTCCGACTGCTGCTGTTCATTCTGCTGCTGCTGCTGTTTATCATGATGCGGCCGCAAGGCCTGGGGAGGCAGCAGCACTGCATCTCCCGCCGGGGAGAGCCGCTCCTGCAAGGGCTCTTGAGATATATTTCCTGCTGCAGCGCCTTCCGGTTGTGGTGGGTCCTGCTGCTGCAGCGCTGGTGGCTGCAGCTGTTGATTGCTCTGGTCTTCCTGCTGAGTCAGTTGCGACCGCTGGTCCGACGAGAGCAAGAGCTGTATTTGCTTTTGCTTCTGAAGCTCTTGATGCTGTTGCTGCTGCCGCAACTCCTGCTGCTGCCGCAACAGGACTCTGAAGTCCGTGAAGGCTTCGATGATGGCATCGCGGAGGTGCTCAAATGCCTCCGCCCGAACCCTCGACCGCTCCTCGTTTGGGCCTGCAAAGCACGCACAGAGAATATTTACTGCTCTGACGGACGTTTCTGCAGAAGAATCGCGAAGAAGATTCCGCGGGATGCGTAGCGCCCATGTGTTTCAAGAGTTCCCGAGCCACGTACCGAGGGCAGAAATGAAGTCATCTGCAAGAGCATCAAAGTCAGCTGGCACCGGAGGCAGCTCCATGGCTGCTGCTGATGCTGCTGCTGCTGCAGCTGCTGCGTCAGCAACTAGTGCTGCCGGCGTCACGGCTGGAGGCAGACCGCGCCGGAGGCTCTTCGCCTCATGGCTTTCTGAGGTGTTGCTGTTGCCTAGGTGTCCAACCAAACAAGATTATACCATGGAGCGGGAGCAGCGATAACAACAACGCCAGCAGCGGCAGCAGACGACGACAAGCGCCGATCCAATCGCTCACGGTGGGAGGATGGCCCGCTGGTGCTGCTGCCTTAGAAGTGAGCAAGTTGCGACTTCGAAAGTTTTAGTCCTCAATATGGGTACTTATTCTTCTCGTCCCCCTTATGGTCGCTGTTGGAGTAACTGCCGCCGCTCCTGGAGCGCATGCAGTTGCTGCTAGACAGGAAAGCGGCTACGGGACCGCCACCCCTGTGTCTGCCGAGAATGTAGGGATCTTGGGTAATTAGAATGTCAATGAAAAGGCGTGGATAACCATGGCTTCAGAGAGGAAGGGGCCCCCACCGACTCATCTGCTGCTCGGGGCCTGGGATCTTCAGCAGCAGCAGCTGCTGCTGTAGCTGCTGGTGCTCATGCTGCAGTGGTGTCTGTAGTGTAGTGTAGCCTGACCGCTGTCGTTAGGTTCCCGTTTCTGGTGTAAAATGCATTTGCCTATGACTTGAACTACACATATTACAATTGTTGCAGCCGCTTCCTTAGCTGCTGCTGCTGCTGCTGCAGCGTAGTTTGCTTGAAGGGGCTTGGTCAGGTTGAGCGGAAGGAAAGCCTCCCCACTTGTGCTGTCGCCGTCTTGCATTTTTTTGACCTGGAAGTTGAAACGCCACCATATCTCAGTACGATGATGCAAGAGAAACCGCGCCCAATGTGTGTGGAAGCAGGTTTTCTGTGCTCGCACGGACGTGAGCACGCTATTCCGCTGTAGTTGTATCTGCGTTCTGTACCTCATTCAATTCCCCTCTATTCTGTGGTTCTTCTTAACGACGTGCCTTTCCTTTCCAGCTCACTGAGGCTGCCACTACAACCGTACCACAGTCACGCGAGTCAGAATGTGTGCACTGGCTGTTCATGCACAGCGTTGAGGGGACTATGGTTTTGCATGCGTGTTGTTGCGTTTGGTGTTATTGTGGTCCACACCTCTTGTAAAATTTTGTTCACATTGTCTCTCTGGGGCACATTCATGCAGCAATAGCGTGCCGCGGACGTCTGGCAATTACGCTCCTTATCGCTTGGCTCATTTCTAGCGGTTCCTTTCCCTGCGAAATGAACAAAAGTCTTGTGCATCTGGCAGCTCATGAGCGGACGCACTGCCGATACATTAACTCATGCGGAAGGGATGCGAGGAGTTGTAGGCCGAGGTCAGGCGACTACAGGGAGTTTCCGCGCCAATGCCCTACTGCCTTTTACGAAAAATAGCTTTAGTGTGCATTCCTCTGTTGGGCATCCACGGCACTGGCAGTGGATGCTACAGCGCCCTAGAGAACTTTCACTGGTGTCAGCTCCCCGAAGAAGCCTTTCTGGTGTCCTGTTAGCCGCTTGGTGTGATGCTCCTGGAGCAGAAAAGGCCCTCTCTGATGCCGTGTTAGCCGCTTGGTTTGATGCTCCTGGAGCAGAAATGGCAGTTGCTCTTCCTACAGTGAGAATATGCTCAGCAAACCCTGTAGTGCCGGGCACTGCAAAGAAACACGAGCGTGATCTTCTGAAGTGGCCAAAATCAATCGTAAGACTGATCAACTAAAATATAGGCCATATTTTTGAGCAGGCTAGAGCGATTAGAGTGGCGTGGCCCTGTGCACCATGCTTCACGGCCCAGGCTTGAAGCAGGCAATGACACTGTAGCTGGTCACAGGACATGTTCAGGAGCCGAGGTGAGGGGTGCTTCCTACAACAACTAGTCGCATCCGAAATACTTTGGACCGCTTAAACGGTACTTAGTGAGTGAGCCTGTTCAACAGATTTGAAGAAGTGATGGCATTATTGAGCCATATACACCCATACAATTGCACAGCAACTATATATCAACTCTCAAACCATGCCATACAGTGCGGGCACACAAAACTCAGAGTCGCGACAGGTAAACTGAATTTCGTTCTGTTGAAGAAGGTACGGAAATCTAGGAGCATGCACCTAAGAGAAACCCAAGAGAAAAGTAAAAACAGAAGAGGGCATGGCTGCCTCAGTAACATCCAAGGTCCCACGGCTCATTGATAGAGTCCAACATCGGAAATTGGACAGTGCCGGCAGAATTCTTACAGCGGGCCAAGTAAGACGCGATACGGGCTTGTGGGACAAATGGAAAAGTGAGAATGTTCCTACGCTTGGCACGAATGGAGCATATAAAGTCAGGGATACCTCGTAGTGGATGGACAATGGAAATAAGTCAAAAATAAAACGAACACCGCTAAACTACTGTCCCAGGTCTCTTTCGTTGCGTGTCTTGGGAAGTAATAATGGCCTCCCCTAACAGAGGGAAAGTGTAAGGACGATCTAACACAGTACAAAGACAGCTGCTTGCTGCTATTAGCTCAAGGGCGTCTTTCATGAGACGTTAGGAAGCGGCACACAGGAGAAATATCTAGATAAGGCGCCAGGACTGGAGATATTTGGTCCTGTGAGAGGCGACGCCTCAGATGGAGTCAGTAAACACAGAATGGTATCAATTTCTCAGTGCTCAGTCTTTGCTGGAGACGAATAAGAGAAACATAGTGCGAACCTCAATGGAGCAATAGCAACAAGATACGATCAGCATTGCTCGAGCGCTAGTCTGCAACTCCAGAAATATGAGGTCAAGAAAACAAAAGCGACAGCAGTATATGAAATCAGCTCACATTCACGAACAGAAGTTTGCCATCAAGCGCAGAAACTGGATCAGGAGGGACTGCTGGACAGTCAGCGTAGGAGTTGAAAACAGTGCTAGCTCGAAGCCAGGTGCCCGCCTCCTACGATTAGTTTCCAATGTGCCTTACTGGTGGCGAAAGCAACAAAATGAAGAGCAGAGTAGCGAAAGCCGTGGCACAATGTGCAATATGGAAATGAAAGCAACCGTACAAGTTCAGATCACTGGCCACTTACCAGTACTGTTGTCAGCCAATGGTGCGTCAACAGGCAACATTAGCTCGGCCATTGCAGAGCTATGGCTCTAGTCTTGGCCATCCCCTAGTAAATTCGTGTTCACAATGGTTAACGACGCGCCTTTGCATATTGGCAATATAGCGATAAAACTAACGGTGCGCTGTGGGCTTTAAGGTTTTCGGGTGAGCTTTTCTGGGAGTCTTCCTGTAGGATCTGCTATTTGGAATGATTGGTTTACACGACATACGACAGCCTGGCAGAAACAATGTGGTAAGCTAAGAACCTAAGTGTATCGCAGATGGTAAGAACCACTTGTAGTACGCGTGAGCTAAACATGAAAAAAACACGACTGTCACGAAGGGGGGAGAATAAAGTCACGCGCAGAGCAGGCAGGTGGCAAAATCCCACGAAAGGTGATGTACATGAATTTGGAGGTGGCTAGACTCCCAGTTCGAAAATTTAACAGTTCGAGTTGCATTCGAGAGCAAAGCTTAAAGTGGGTATGGAGAGGTCAGTATGGCAAGCATGCATGAGCTCGGACCACCTCTGTGATTTTGCGCAAGCACTTAACCTCACACTGGCTCTCTCCTCGTTGGCCAGTGACGTTGCCACATGTCTCCATGGAAAACGGCAAGGGATTTCCATATGTGCTCTCCCGGTGCGCAACAAGGCAGGGCCGCAATAGCCCGTTTTTACTGTGCCATAAGGGCGAAGCGTGCTGAATGACGAGCAGCCGTCATGGTCCTGCACTGTGCTTGTCCGCTCTCTCTTTGATGAAGAATTGCAAGCAGTATTATCGTCGGGCACAACCAACGGTGCACCTCTCGTATTGGATTGAAAACAACCAGCATTCTCTCGATTCCAGAAAATAGTGGATACAATCGTTTCCACCGCTTGCTCCAGAGTGTCTGTTCGTTTCGTGTCGTTAAGCAGCCTGCCACTGCTTGACGGCAAATTTTACGTCCAGTGCCGCCTTGATCTATTGGAAGCTTACGCGGCTGTCTCTTATTTACATTCCGCTTCACGTGAACGAATTCTTATACCAGCATGTTGAAACCTGGAGGGATTTTTTGCCGTTTCGGTGTGCTGCATTTACTTGCCTGCTACATCTTGGTAGTCTGCCACCACTGGCAAAACTTTCCTGCAGGTCGCAAGATAGTCTGTAGCCATGTGAATTAAGATTACGATTGTGCCTTGGTTCATTTCTAAGACTGCATGTTCCGCCATTGTTTTGTGTTGCTGGTCGTCGTCGCCTGTGCTCACTTGATCCCCAATAGCGCTGTGTTCTTCTGTTGCTCAGTAGTACAGAAACCATTTCGAGATTCCGCTAAATGCAAGCGCTCTGGTAGCTACACTTGTGGGGCTTAATCGCTCTCAAACAGAAGGCTCTATAGCATTGCAGAGTAGCAGTGGCGACTGCAAGATATGTGTGTTGGGCCACTGCGCTTCCTCATATTCTGCAGGGGGAACAGCAAACATAGCACAGCTGATCGTAAGGCCAGGGTTCATCAATTTTGAACGGGGATACGGTAAGGAGAAGTCTCTAACAAAACTCACCATGGCTTTCCTGTTTACTTGTTCGAAATTGGAAAGTTCTCTCCTTTACAGTCACCTATGATCTGGCAAGAGCCAGGGCCTTTTAGGGACAAGCTTTCTAAGAATGATTTATGCGTAGAATAACAAATGCTGCAACCTTATGGGGTTGTACTGGCGCAACATTGTAGAGCTACGCACTACAGGAAGGTCTGCCAGGTAAATGAGATTCATTAGCTGCGAATTCATTTTGAAGCTGCAACACTAGTTCGCTTACTCAAGCATCTTGAGCCCCCAATGATAGTTCATCCCCAAAGCGACGTTGCTTCTATGACCCTGAAACTATGTTATTTCTCAGTGTAGCCTGTAAAACGATGGGGTGCCGAAGTTGGTGATACTGGTGGGTGTCACAGCTAATGCGGAATTTGACCGAAGAATCCGAAAGTAGTCGAGCCAAAGATAAGAGCTCCCTTCAATGCTCTAAAAACAGTTCATATGTATTGCTCGCAGCAGTCGCTATCGCGATTTTAGACCACCGAAAGAGCTCTCTTCGTTGCCCGGTCATACGAGATGTGGGACCGCTGCTAATGAGGTGGACCAGAAGGTGCTGCAATAACTTCATTTTATAGTGCTTCTGAGGGTATTTATTAATACAAATCTGTATTGACAAGAACGAGAACAGTTCGGGCGAAGGAAGGCCATAGGGATGCTTCCATCGGGTGCGATCCCACGTAAACGCCTGTGTATAATGTTGTCAGTGCGCAAGGAAAACGTTTTCTGTCATTTTTCCTTGTATGCCGCCGGAAAAGAGCTCCGGAAGGGTCGTGGTCATCCGTTTACTAGGGCCATTACCCAAAATTGTTTATGGAATTCCGTTTGCCGTGGTCTTTATTACCTTCTTTGCGAGTTGTGCACGATCAATCCCCTCAGATAAGCTACAGGTGCCATCTTTGGCATTCATGTGGTATTGCCGGCAGCAATAGTGTCTAATAATGGTCCACAGCCCGTAGTGGTTATATGGCGTTAGTTTTCCAAGATTAAGGAAGTACGCAAGAAGTACTGTAGGCCAAGTCACTTCAAGAAATTCTTGTAGTGATTATTTATCTGGAAGCGCCTTTTGTCAGTGAGGATGGCCACGAATGGGACCTTCGCCCGTAGCATGGGCCGTTAACTCGGCAATGCATACGGGGCTAGGCCTTAAATACATTTTGTTTTATGATTGCAGAGCTGCTTTATAAACAGCTTGTGTAGTGCGCAGACACTACAATAGGGCTCGCTGGTGAGCTATAGAGGATAGCTAACTGATGACATATAAGCGGTTAAGAGGTTGAGACGTGGACTGAACGCTGTAACCTCTTACTAGTGAAATAGAAACGCAATTCGTTAGCAGATTAACCTGTATGAACTAGAAATTGTTGCGAGTGCCCTAAGATTGGGGATGCCGACAACGCCGGCACCGGTGCGCGTCACATCCTCACCGGACCAGCAAAGCAAGAACCATAAGAAGTGACTTTTATGAAATACGGTTTTTGGGAACTTGAAACAAAATTGTCTTTTTAATAATTTAGTAGACGTTACGAGACCGATGCTTCTGTAGAAGAGAAGATTTCTTAGAGCGCCAGAGTTGTGGGTAGTGCAGCATCGTAGACGCTGTAGAGAACGCATTGTACTGCAGCTTGTGCCTGGGATGTCCTCCGTTTGACTAAGGTGTGTTAACAGCGGCTATCCTATATTTGGCACTCCAGGATATACTCATGCAGTATTCGGCTGGTGCTGCGGGCAACGAGAAGCGAATTCCCAATGATTCAATGCGTTCATATTTTCAAAAGTGCTACGCTTTGGGTCAAAGCTCATGTGGTTAGACTGTGAATGCTGCCTATTCAAGCTCGCACCTTTCCACATGCCCGTAGGTGGCTGCTGGCACGTTTACCATTTGGACCATGTATCCATTCCAGCTTTTCGCGTCCAAGTAATAGTTACACGCAACCGTACGAGTTTACGGATTCCGTAAGGGAATCAATATTCCTGCCCAAGTTGATTAATTCCAACCTTAGGGGGCCTCCAGCTAGCTAACAAATACTGGGGTGCCCCTAGGCTGCTAGTGTGGGACAACACGTTCTCTGCTTCCACTTCGGTACCTCCTGGCGCACGAATAGGGCGACCTTCTGACAAATCCTCTATATTCGACATATATCTCGTCATCCTTCGAGTCTGCAAGTCGAACCTTAGAAGGCGAGAATCCTAGTTCTGACTCTCCTGACCCACTTGAGGCTATGCCCCACACCAGTGCCGGCGTCATCGCCTACCTCACTTTTACGGTATTTACAGACACTCGTGGTCTACGCATGCGATTTTGCTTATAAATTGACTTACTGCGTTACTGATAAGAAGTTATCCGCATTCTTTAAGAGTCCTAAACTCTTATAGACCACCGGCTAGCTAACATCTCAAGGTCATTAGTAAGCCCTCTTGTAGTACCTGCGCAGTACAAGGGCTCTGCAGTGAGATGCAGCTAAGCTGCAACTCTTGTACAGTAGAGATTCTTCTTGGCTAGTTTCATCTTTGAGCGCCTGTAAAGGAAATAAGGCCGCTATGGCTTTCGTCCAGTGGCAGCCGGCAGGTTCAAAGCAAATGTGGATAGGAAAAGGCGCTAGCTGCATTCAGCAGAACCATTCAAGGAAGGACTGCGTCGGCCTTTGTAGTTAGCAAGTGAGGCCTGCTTAGCCCGTATCTGGATCACACCCCAACGCAGGTACGGGGGCGACTTGATACGCTACTTTCCAGTTATTGGTGGTAAATATGACCCATAGTCTCGTAAAAGTGCAAAGTATATTGTAAAGCATGGCATTTCCGTCTGTTTACGGTTCTATGCGTATATACAGACACAGACCGAACGCTTCGCATGCAGTTCTCCATTGGTTTCCGTCACGGTTACGTACGCGAAATGAAGCATCAGGTTATCTTTGTGTGCATCTATCCAAAATGTAACACTTCAGTTGAGCTCATGTAAGAGCTGCCGATATTTATGGAATCCTGAGCGCCATTCTTGGAGTTCCAGAAGGCGTCTGCAGATCGAGACTCATCGCCTGTCTCTGTCATGAGGCCCGACTGAACAGTTAACACCAGCAACTACAGTTTTAGCAAAACTGTTGCAGAGTGGCCTTATTTTGGATTGAACTCCAACGTAAGAAATTTGGAACCAAATTAGCTCTGTTTCTGTCTTCGTGCCGCTGCCGAAGTCAAGGAAGGTTTGGGGGCAGGCTGAGACCGTTGTATATTGCGGAGCAGCACGCAAAAGTGGAAGAAACCAGGCTCACTTACCTTAAATGTTCGAAGTTCCCAAAAAGAACGCATTTTTTATTTTCCATAAGATTTTTTATGAATCTGAAGGGTAGTTGGAATTGCATATGCCACGTAGGCGACGCTGCAATACTGTGTCTGGTCTGCTTCGAGCCGCTCGAGTTACTCTGAAGGCATTCAGCACGTAGAGCCTCGAAGTGCAGCCTTGTGGCCCAGTGTCACTCTGCATGAAATTTTTAGCTTTACCCTGGGTTTGCCCCGTCTTAGCCGGGAGAATCAGTTCAGGTGGGTGCGGATCCCGTGTCGGGCCTTCACGAAGATCTTGCCTTTCGTTGCCATTTCGTTGCACTCGCCCTTTTCCATCTATGTGTTTCCGAACTCTGGAGGGAGAGACATGCAAGGGGGAGACATTTCTTCCCTCCTTTATCATTTGCATATTTGTGTCTTGCGGAGTTTAGCTTCATATCCGCTTATTCAAACAACCCCTAGACTTCGGCTCCGCTTTTCCTTGCCCAGCTCTCCCACCACAGTTTCATAAACAACCCCCACTGCCACCTTGTTGCGATTCCATGGGTCCTCATGCACTGAAAACGGCTGGTAGGAACTTAGGGTGGTTTCTCCGGGCTTCAGCAGCATGAGGCGGGCTGCTTTGCTGCTGCAATGCGCAGCAACTGCAGTACTAGCAGGAGCCGAACCACCGGTTGGAGGGTTCTTGAGTTTGTTTTATTTCAAATTCCTCGTTTTCAGCTTCGTGGAGGCCAACAATTTGCCGTCTTCATCTTTTCAGTCACCAATCAATGCCATTTTCAGCAGCAGCAGCAGCGGCAGCAGCCCTGCCAGCTTGGAGGCAGGCCACAGCAGAACGTTTGGTGTCAGCAGCAGCTTCAGCAGCAGCCTCATTGACAGCAGCAGCAGCACCGGCACAGCCGAAAGCACAGTCTCCAGCAGCACTGACAGCACAGCAACTACCAGCACCACTACGACGAGCACCAGCACCACTACCATCAGCGGCAGCACCAGCAGCACCAGCGCCGGCAGCACTGGCAGCAGCAGCACAACAACAGCTGCCCCGCAGCAGGCGTTGTCAGATGAAGAGCGCATAGCGCAGTTGATTGCCGAGGACACTCCGAAGTTAGATTGGTCTATAACAGAGGGCTGGACTCTGCCTGAAAACAACATTTACCGAAACTATCTGTGCCGGTTCTCAGCCCTCAGCGCTCCTTGCTGGGATTCAATTGGCCTCTACGGCAGCAAACAGTTCAAGGGCTGGCCAGTGCCCCTGTACTGCCCGCCTGGGAACTGCTGCGCCTCCGACGTAGATGAACTCATTTGTATGAGTTCCTGCACGGGGGGGGGCTGGGCCGTCATGAGTTCGTCGGAGTGCAATTGCAGCAAACATCAACACAAGTGCCCTCAAAACACTGTCTGCGACGAACAAGACACTGGCAACTACGGCGGCGTCTACTGCCGCTGCAAAGACGGCTACGTCGGCGACGGGGTCACCTGCTACCCCGACCCCTGTGCGGACTCCACCAAAAATAAGTGTTCTCCAGGAACCTGCAAGAGCAGGCCAAACGGCAGCGCCTACTGCAAGTGCCCCGAAGGGTACACCTGGGACGGGACAGATCCCTACAAACCCACATGCGCGTTTGCTAGCATGTGCGACGGGGATCCTTGCGGGCCCCCCGAAGCTGTACTGGAGTGCAGGACTGACAAGGCCTTTGAGTACACCTGTGTTTGCCGCCCGGGGTACGAATTCGGCACTGAGGGCACGGTAAAGAAGTGTATCGCTGCACAAGCCACGGTAACCTGCGCCGACGAACCCTGCGGCACGGAAGGACTGCTGTCGTGCACAGACACCGCAGAAGGCCCGGAATGTGTGTGTGACAAGCACTACAGACTGGTGACCGAGCAGCGGAAAAAACGGTGCATCTTCTCTCCCTGTGAATTCGATCCCTGTGGGGATTCCACCGCAGCTAAGAGCTGCGAGCCCGGAATTTCGACCTACACTTGCGTCTGCAACAAAAACTACAAGCTGGACACTATCGACGGCCAGCCGAAGTGTGTGGAGGACACGGTCGATCTTATCCCTTTCATCATAGGGGCAGCAGTTGTGGGCGTGCTGCTGCTGATAACTCTCATCAGCTGCTTCGTCTTGCGGAGACGAATGCTCAGCCGCAACGCGTTCGAGGCCTACGCACAAGACAACCTCGAAGTGTCCATGGGGGCACACCAAGATGGCATCAACGTAAGTTCCAGCGCGTGGATGTAGTCCCCAAAGCTGTCCCAGCGGACACCAGAGAAGCAGCTCGTGCTGCACAGTGCGACGCGGAAGCAGCAGCTACGTTTTCGGGTATCGGTGGGACGGCCAGGAATTGCCCTCATCTGGGTAGAGCCACTTGTGGGGGAAATAAAAAACAGCGCGTATGCGTCCAACTTACGGAGAATGGCATTTAAGACCCGTGTTGTAGCAGCTAGCAGACGGAGGCAGAAGGCCTCGAAGGCCAGCAGCATCTGCATGCCGGTGGCATCTTTGTTTTTGTAAAACTGTTGGCTTCGGACAACCCCTAATCTATTATAGTTTCGAGTAAATGTGCAGCTCGCCTCCTTATTGGGAGACGAGTTCTGACGAGATTGCTGATGATGACTGTTGCGCGTTTACGTCTCTCCTCATTTGTCCTTTTACGTTTACTTTTATAGTTGTCTAGAGGTGGAACGTGGCGTTACCACCCTTGCTGCTGCTAAGCAGCATGTGCAAGAAGCACGAACACAGGCTCATTTCCCCTTCCAGTTCTTTCCCAGCTCTTGTTTTCAGTCCACGCGAAACTGTGAGATAAGCCACACAGAAATACAGATAGACTGGGAAGGAGCGGAAGCGCCAGCATACAGAAAGCAGCTAGCAATAGAAGAGCGCACAGAGGCAAGAAGGGAAGCGCCAATACCGCAAAGGGGTAGCAGACAGACAAATGAACGCTAAAGGCAAGCACATGTATGAGAATGGAAATTCACTTGCGCAGAAACGCGCAAACCGCAAGCAGAAACACGACGCTCTCTCACAAGATGAGCACAACAGGCACGAGCAGAAAGCAACGAGCGGTTGCTTCCCACCGCCCTTGCCTTGAGCTTGTCTCAACGGAGCATCTCCCAGTGTCTTTCTGTTCTTTTCGCTCTTATTGTGCTGTAGATTGTATCACTGTCCATGTGTAAGTGTACTTCCTGCGTTTGTGTCGCTGCGTGAATGCTGCAACGGTACTGCCTATTGTGCAGCTCCCACGCCGCACATACTAGCAGAGGAGGCCCCATTTTCCTTAGGAACTCATGCGTCTACACTAGATAGAACAGACTTGCACATTAAGCGTATGCAATTGAGCGAGGAGGCCCTCCCACCACTAGATGTGAGGAGTGCAGGACCCTTCAAACCTATGGGGACCCACTTTAGGGCTGTCTACACCTGCTCAGCCAAAACAGGATGTGTTTGGCTCCAGAACAGCCCGGATTGTTCTAGTCTGTCGAGCCTGTCTAATTGCCCGCAGCAGAAGCTGCTGCTGCTTACTTGCTCAACGGCCGATGCACTGCAGCATCTGCGGTGTTGCTTCAGCGGCTAGAGTTCCGTCTGAGAGCCCCTTTGCGATAAAAAGAACTCTAAAATAAGTGACAAGATTTGTAGGAAACTGTTGGTGTCTTTCTACTTCGTTTCAGGAACATGGGGCTTCGGACGAATCGCCACAGTAGCAGCGGCTGCTGCTGCTGTTGCTTCTGCTGCTGCAGGTGTTGCTTGCTGCTGTTTGGCAGCAACTGCTTGTGTGGCTCCCTGGACTTTGTTTGTATTGTTTAACGTTTTTGTTGGTTTTATGTATGCACATTGGGGGTCTTGGGGGTTCCTCATACCTTTTGCTGCCTATCGCACGAAAGCGCAACTTGCTGTTGCTGCTCCCTCCCACTGTAGCCGCTGAAATTCGCGGATGATTGTGGGACCCTCGGGCCGTTGGCTATGATTTCTGCATTTAAATTTGCTTGAGGAGCCGTCCTGTGAGACACTGTTGGTAGTGGGAGACTCTCCACGGGCACATAGGACGACGCCCAGGAGAGGGGAAGGGCCCCCCTTTGGGGCCCCGCGGATTGTGCTGTCATTCAGTTCAAGTATGAGTAGGCGAGTCAACAGGGGAGGGCCCCCAGAGTTGTCGGGGGGCCCCTGGGAGAATGATAGGCCCCGAGCACGCGACACAGCGCCCAGGGACAGCACGAGACGCACAGTCCTTGTGATGAGCCCGGGGGCCCGCCGGGGGGGGCCGCTGGGCTCTCCGGGGTCTCTGGAGTCCTCTGGTAGATTCACAGAAAGGCTTTCAGGGAGCTCCCCAGTAATAAGTGCCCGGCAGGGGCCCCCGCCCGCGGAGGCTTCCGTTGCGGGGGCCCCTGGGGGCTCTGGGGGCTCGGGGGGAATGCGGAAGCTTCCCTTCATGGCACTTAGCGACATCATACGGCAACAACATATGAAAGGAAAAGTGAGTTAGGAGGGGAGGCGGAGGGGGAGCCTCAGAAAGCACTGGGGCCCCCAGGACACTCTGGGGGGCCCCACGCTTCACGGGGAGTCACACTTAACGCTTCTCGCCACATAAGACCTTCCAGCGGAACGGCTTGCTGTAGGATGCAAGACAGGGATTTCACTGTAGGCCCGCAAGGGTTCCGCTGTCTGGGGGCCCCCAGAGGGGACCCCCGGGCTCGAGAGGCTGCCTCTAGGGACAAGAACTTGGGGCTTTTCGTAGAGCCCCAGTTTGCCTTGCATGCGCACTTCAGCTCTGGAGTGTCTGAGCTGCTGCAGCGCCTGCTGTTCGCTGAACTGTGCCTCCTGCGAGCGTCTAGCGCTGTGTCCATCTCGCCGCAATACCTGCTGCGTTTGCTGCTGCTGCTGCTGCTGCTGCTCGCCTGTGCTGTTGTTCTGTTTCTTTGGTGCAACTGACAGGGGTTGCGGCTGCTGCCGCGCCAGCTGTGCGAGCAGCAAAACCGACTGCTGCTGCTCTTTCATTTGCTCCTTGTAAAGTGGCGGCTCCAGCGGCAGCGGCCACCGCTGCTGCTGCTGCTGCTGCCGCTGCTGCTGCTGCTGCTGCAGATGGGCACTAGCCCATTGACAAGCAGCAGCTACGGCGGCACGTGGTCCTATGATTTGCATGGTGCTTTGACTTGAAGTGCTCTGTTGTTTTGCAGCTGCCCCTGGCAGTTGCGAAGCCAGCAGCTGCAGCTGCAGCAGCAGCAGCAGCAGCTGGTTTGTGCTTCCAAGTGTTGTGCGCGTTTGAGGAGTCTTTGGGCCCTCAACAGAATGACGATTTGCTGCTGGTGTTGCTTTTGCTGCTGCTGTGTGTTTGTGCTGTGTGGCCGTAGCTGCATGGGCAGCAGCAGCAACAGCTGCAACAGCAAGAACGCTCCCCTTCCCCACCAAGGACGCAGCTGCAGCAGCAGCAGGACGAGCAGCAGCAGCACCACGGCTCTGCCCGCAATGCGCTGTTTGGATCTGAAAGGGCCCTCCAGGGGAGGGCCCCCCCGGGGCATCATGCCCTTGGGGAGCACCGCAGAGTCCGGGACTTGAGCGGGGGCCCCCAGTCTTCTGCAGACGCCAGCAGGTCGAGGGGCCCCCGGGGCCCCGGAGAGGGTACCCATTATCTTTCGAGCGAGGCGCCTCGCCCCCCGCGGCTGAGGGAGAGGCCCTCGCGCTCCCCGGGGGCCCCGGGGGCCCCCGGGGCCCCAGGGGCCCCCAGGGGCCCCTCCCCGGACCGCCGCAGCGAGACAGAGCTGCGGAGGCACCGAGGCCGAGGCCGCGCTGCGGGAGAGGGGCCCCCGGGGGAGGAGGCCCCTAGGGGGAGCGGGGAAGGATATGATTCCCAGGGCTCGCCCTACGGGGGGCCCCCCAGAGGGTCCAGTGGAGATTGGAGAGAAGCAGAAAGAGAAGGCCGGAGGGCCTCTCGAAGGCATTCTCCCGAGCCTTTCCAAGGCAGGGGGGGCAGCGAGGGGGCCCCCCGGGGAGAGAGGTGGGCCTCGAAGAGAAGGGGCAGTTCCCCTGCAGAAGAAGCCCACAGGGGGCCCCAGCAAAGACACCACCACAGCCACAGGCCGTCCCCGGGGGGGGCCCCCCACAGGGGCCCCTGGGGCTCCCGGGGCTCGAGAGAGAGAAGCTCCGCGCGGGTTTCTTCGAGGGGCCGCTACGCAGCCAAAGAGAGCACTATGAGGCACTCCGGGGGGGCCCACGGGGGCCCCCTGGAGGGCCGCAGCAGGCCCAGACACCGCAGCAGCAGCAGGGACACGGCGGGGGAGTGGGGGCCCCCCAGAGGCAGAAGAGCTTCCCCTCGAGAGGCCCGCTACAGCCCCCACAGAAGTAGGCGGAGAGAGTGGGAGGGGAAGGGGGGAGGCAGCGGGGCCTACGAAAGAGGAACCCCGAGAAGCCCCGAAAGCGAAAGGTCTTTTTCTCCCGCGTATGAGGACCCCCGCAGGGGCCCCCAGGGGGGCCCCCGGAACCACTCGGGGGCCGCGAGAGACCGCTCTTGGAGCTACAGGGGGCCCCCCAGACGTATGCCCGAAGCGCAGGGCTCTCCCAGAGAAAGAATGGGGAGGCCCCGGGGCCGGGGAGCTGCAGGGGGCCCCCCTTCTCGCAGCCGCAGCAGCAGCCGCAGCGGCAGCAGAAGGGTGCGCATGCACAGCCGGAGGCCCCGGATAAACAGTCACGGCAGCAGGAGCAGCAGACAAAGCAACAGCTGCACGCGAGAGGAAGGAGGGGCCCCCAGAGACCGGCAAAAGGGCCGAGAGGGGGCCCCCCGCTACCGCAGCGGCAGCAGAAGCAGCAGCAAACGCAGCCGCAGCAGGACCCGCCGAAACAGGCACAGCGTCAGCTCGAGCTATGGGCACCACCGCAGACGCTCTTATGACTCGAGGGCCTCAGGGTCACCGGGGGCCCCCCTGGAGGGGACCAGGGCCTCCAGGGGAGGAAGCGTTTCCCCAACAGAAGGGGGGGCCCCTCTTGAAGACGAGAGAGAAAGATGGAGGCACCGCAGAGAGCAGCTGCAGCGCCGGCTGCGGGGGGCGGCAAACGGCGCTGCTGCCGGGGTGGCAGCAGGTGGTGCTGCTGCAGCAGCAACAGCGGGGCCCACAGCAACAGGGGCCCCCCCCGCAGCACCAGGGACTGCAGGGGCCCCCGCGGTCGAGTGGCAGCAGCAGCAGCAACCCCAGCAACCGATGCAAATGCAGATGGGGTACGGATGGGGGGGCCCTGCTGGTGAATCTCTGCCGCCTCCCATGCAGCAGCATCCCCACTTGAGGGCCCCTGAGGGCTTCTACAGTGCTCAGGGCCCTACAGTTAGGGTCAAGAGAGGGCCCCCAGAGGGGCCCCCAGGACCTCCATACACGCCCCAGGGGCCTCCTCCCGCGTACTCCCCTCAGGGAACCCCACACTACTTCCCGCAAGGGCCTCCTGCTGCAGGCTGGCCGCAGCCACCAGCGCAGCAGCACCAGCACCAATACAGCAGCAGCATGTGGGGGACAGCATCAAGAAATGATGGCTTTCTTTCAGCAGGATGGCCGCAAACTGCGCCCTACGGGGGCCCCAGGGGCCCCCCCGACGAGTACGCTCACCACCGGATGCAGCAGCAGCCGCAGCCGCAGCAGCCGCAGCACCATCCGCAGCAGCCACCACCCCAGCTTCAGCAGCAGCAGCAACAGCAGCGAGCAATAGAATCTCCAGGGGCAGCGGTTCCACCACCCCCTGTAGATGCGCCTGCTGGGGGGGCCCCCATGGGCCCAGCTAGCCAGGGCCCCCGCCCGCCTGAAAGCTCCCCGGGGGGTACTGGGGGTCCCCCGCCTCGCGCCTGCAGGGAATTTTTGCTGGGGGGCCGTTGCTCGAGGGGCCCCTCTTGTTTAGATCTGCACATTCCTCCCCAGGTGTACCACAAATTCAACCCGCACACGCTGCTGCTGCTAGGGCCCTTCATATCTGAGGCGGCGGAGCTGCGTCGCCGTTACGCTGCGGATGTGGCACTCAAGCAGCAGCAACAGCAGCAGCAGCAGCAGCAACAGCAGCAGCAGCAGAGGATGTACGACCAGCAGCAACAGCAGCCACGGGGATTGCAGAGGCACCCTATGCACGGGGGTCCCCTTCAGTCTTCCATGCATGGGGGAGTTGTTGGGGCCCCTCCGCCTAACCCTCCCATGGGACCTCCTGGCCCTCATCCTGTCTTCGGGGGGCCCCCTTATGTGGCTTCTCACAGGGCTGCAGGGGCCCCGATGATGGGCAGCTACCCCAACCTGCAGGGAGGTGCAACCCGCGACATGCAGCAGTACCCTCCAGTTTTCGGTTCCCCCATGCAGGATGGAGGAGGGGCCCCCTTCAGAGGCCCCCCTCCCATGGACGGCGGGTGTGGGCCGCAGGGGCCCCTGAGGGCACGGCGACCGGGGGCCCCTGGGGGGCCCCTCCCAGACGCACCCTCTCCTTTCATACTGCGAACTCCAAGAGCCATGCCGGGGCCCCCCATGCAGGGGCCCCCTCAAGACGTCCCTGGGCCGCCGCCTCCTCCAGACCCTTCTCGAGGACTCTGTGGAGTCTGGTATGGCAGGGGTCCCCCCCCCCCGCCATTCCGGCATCCAGGAATGGGGGCCCCTGGGGGGCCGGGGGTTCCCGGGGCCCCCATGGCTGCTGCGGCTTTGAAGAAAAGGAAGGTGTCTGCGAACAAGGCGAAGGCAAAGAAGCAGAAGAAACTGCAGCAGCAACAGCAGCAACAGCGCCAGCAGCAGACGCAGGACGCACTGGAGGATGAGAGCGGCGTCGGGCTGAATGAGGGTGACCCTGGGTCAGCTCCTGCGGATCAGCAGCAGCAGCAGCAAGAGTTCGGAACGGGCGAGCAACAGGAGCGGCAGGACGGTGAGCAGCAGGAAGAAGAGGAGGATGAGCAGCAGCAGCAACAGGAGGAACAGGAGCAGCAACAACAGGGAGATGAAGACGGCGCTGCTGCTGGCGATTGGGAAAGAACAGCAGAACAGCAGTCGGCGCTTTCCGATTATTTCGCATCTAAGACGCAGGAATTTTTGTCCTCAGAAGCATATTTGGAGGGATGGAGCAAGAAGGATCTGATTGAGGTATCGGAAGTATTCCCTTTGGTTTAAATCTCTATGAATTTTGTGTTGAGCGCTTTTTGCGGCTTCAGGTTATGGGCTTTTTATTTGGGTTGCGGCCGTAACAAATGGGATGCATGTTGACTTATTTTTGCCTTTGCTGCTGCAGTACTTCTACGATCAGTATCTGCAGCAGGACATGACTGCTGCAGAGGCTCTCGCCTCCGCTACATGTAAGGGGAGGCTTTGCTCATTTCCACTGTTGCTGCCACATGTTGTTTATTTGGCTGTTGCATAGAGATTTGCTGCAGCGGCTGTCGCTCCGTGTTCAACTTTTGCCATTACTGCGTCTGCTGATGCTGTCGCCCACAGCCTACGTTGAAAATCCTGAAGCTTACGGTTTAGTTGGGGGAGGATCTACGGATGATGCCGCAGCAGCAGAATCAGCAGATGCAGCGGCAGACGCAGCAGCAGGGAGCGCAGTGGAAGATGCGGCAGCAGTAGCATCAGCACCGGAAGGAACAGAAAGCTCAGCAGGAATGGGAGAAGCTGCAGCAGCAGAAGGTGCATTGGGAGAAGATGCTGCGGGAGCAGCAGAAGCTGCTCCTGCTGTTGCAGACGGGGCTGATGAGGATGGCAGTGCGTAGTGCGGCTTGTGATCATCAGAAACGTACACAGCAGCAGCAGCTGTTGCTGCAGGGGTCACCTTAACGAGAAAGTAAGTTGGAACTGGCGCCCCTTTTTCTGGTGAAGCCGAAAGGGCTGTTGACTTAATTTGAAGGGCCTCCCCCAAAAATGGTAGGGAGCCTCAATACAGCTCTTCACGGGCTGCTGTATTATGCGGTTGCATTAACAGCAAGAGCAGGGCTACGGGGGCTTCACACCTTTCCTAATGGGGAGTGTCGAGCTCTCTGACTTTGTCTTTCATTATTTATTCGAGACTGCTCGAACGGCGTACGACGCATTTAGGGTCAAGAGTGTTTGATCTTTTGCCTGTAAAGAGAGGAGAAAGCATCTTTAAGCCGCGCACCGCAGAATACGTAATAAGTAGCAAATGAGCCACTAACTCGCAACAGCTCTAGCAGCTGATGCGGAGCCGCAAGTAGCAGCAGTTTCAGCAACAGCAGAAGTAGTCTGTGTGTTGGTTTTGGCACGCAGTGACTGTCGCTGCATTTAATCGAAGCTTTGCTTTCCGCGGTCTACGAAGTAGTTGAAGGGCAACCGAACGGAGAAGTTGTCCCGCTTTGCTGTAGTATCTGTCTGTGCGTCTGTGCTTCTCCGTGTCCCTGCCACCTTCTTTTGCTTGGTGCTCTGGGCTGCAAGCGTTTCTGTCTGTATTCTTTTGCTCGATCTACATCCGCCACAACTGTGTGTCAACCCTCGGCAAATCGACTGCATTTATCAATGTCTTGATACACACTGCGTTCACTGTTTGTGCACGCATCACATGCCCATAAAAAGGTGAAAGGCTGTTGTTGCTGGCGTGACAAAAGCACTCTGTAATGTAGGGGTGGCGTGCACTGTAAATGCATGCAGAAAAGGTAGCCACATGAAGCGCCAAACACTTTGCGCCAGCTGTTGCTGCTGCTCTAGGGCTACACAGCAGACAATCCTAAGTCATGCTTCCTGCATACCTGCAGTGTCTTCATGTGTACCAGTGTCGACAATGAAACGCATTCCACGGCAAACGTTATTCCACGCTGTCTCTGACCACTATTGTTTTCAGACAAGCGTATGACGCAGCTCAGCTGAACAGAAAGCAAAAAAGCAAGAAAAAAGGAAAATGAGACACGGGACTGTATGGTGACACTAAAGCAGAGGCAAGGACAAACCCATGACGCAGTAGGGTGGATGTATGTGGCAATGGTAATATCTACACACTACTGTTGACGTTCCCTATATAGTGGATATAGTGGCGCACACAAAAGAAGTTCAGTGTAATTCCAGCTGATTTTTCTCAACGTTAAAATTTACCTCGGACAACAACATCCATACGACCTTTGCCTGTGAACGAGAAAAGACTAAATCCTCTTTCAACAGTATCCCCGGCTGTAAAGCACAAGGCAATGGGGGCAAAAACACTCACGAAACGAAGTAAGGCCTACAGCAGACAGAAGCGATATTTTCAGCATGCACGAAACAAAGGGGATTGGTAACCAAGCTGCAAAAGTGGAAGAAAGGTAGTGTAAACCGAGAAGGGAGAACCGACTAGGAACAAGTCCAAACGAAACGCGACAAACGAAAGCAATTGTGAACTCAGGTAAACGTGGAAGCACACGCGTAGCGCGACAAACACAACACACGCATTATGGGTAGACGGTGTGTACAGCAGGTACAAACGGAAGAGAGTACATGCACGCACAATGACATGCAAACAATAACACCCGAAGCCGTGCAAAAACTAGCATTCCTTCTTGCAAAGACGTCCATCAAAAATATAGGCAAGCAGGGCCCCGCTGCAGTTTAAATTTCTCATTCACTGGGGTCTCTGTCCAACAAGAAAACCAGATATCCGTGCACCCGAAAAGAAACCTAACTTTCCCCAACCTCGGGCTAAAGTTCATACCTGAGTCCTGCGCGTCATTCACAGACCCGTTAATGGCTGCCTCGAGGTAAATGGCCGCCAATTCCGCCGTCTGAAGTGCCACGCAGACACACAAACAGTACAGGCAAATGACAGCACATGCCGCAGACGCTGCCAGTGAAACGTAGGGAAGTGTATACAGATTCTCAGTGCTACGTTCAAATGTGCTGTGTGTGCTTACGTCCATGTCGGGCCACTTTTCTCCTTCTTCCTGCAGCACATACAGACACACTACAGCTGGCTACAATTATCATTGCAGCCCCTACGAGAAACAGGAAATGACTCCGTGAGGGTTTTATTCCTAAGAGTTCCTAAAAGTTCTTGCGGGTCCCCCCCAAAAGAGGCAGTTACGCACCTTCAATCGAACCTGAACGTGCAGGCGGAGCCCTTGGTACTCCGACACGAAGGTGTCTGCAGAAAGTGCACGCACTTGGATTTAAATTCGTGCTGCAGTTCTTGTCGACTTTTCAAGAGCAAAAAGCAGCATCTAGATCTATCGAGGGCTTGCGTCCAGTGAACCAAAGATACAGCAGCAGTATAGGACGGTGATGATGAACTCACGAGCACGGTAGCCTCTCCAATTCCGTCGATAGTTCCCCACGAAGTGCAACACCTCCTGCAGCATCTCTCGCATCTGAGCCCAAAAAGCAGTCACAACATGACGAGAATGCTTGTAGTTGCTTTAACGGAACAAAGTGTTCTTTGCCAGAGGTTGGAGCAGCAGGAAGACCACAATGCAGCGAAGTCCCAGGATACCCAACAGGCTCCAAAAATCCAATGAAGTTCCTTCTGCTGAGTTTATTGGAGCACCATTTCTATAAGAGTTCTACGACAGTGACCCCGCCTCCACGCTAGCTGCCTCACAGCTGGATTGTGTATCTTTGGAAACGAATAGAGGGTCTTAAAAGAATCGAAAGCTTCCCCCTCGTCTACTAAACTCTGGGAGTCGGCCTCGTCCTCACTGCCTGAGGACATCGACATATGAGATGGGACACTGAAGGCCTGCGCAGAGAGGACAACAAACAAGCAAGCATGTAGTTCTGTGGAACTTTTCACAGGGAAAAGCGACATATTGCCAGGAGCGCGACTGGCGAAACAAAGACAGAGGATCAAACTCCACGTTTTTCACTGAATTGCAGAAAACTGCGTCGAACAGCCATCTGGTAAGCGAGAAATGCGCTAATACTGGATAGCGCGCCATACCAGGTTAAGGGCCCTGCGCAGCACAGAGAACATGACTACCGAGAGGGCCACAACAAGAAGAGAAGAAATATGTCTTGTCTGCCTTCGCTCTCGGAGGCGCAGTTCTGCTTCGCCTCTCCATCTGTGGACACGACCATCAATCGGCGCTTCTTGAGGCTCCCCCACTACAGGGCCCATGGGCACCGTCTGCTCCATTGCTGCTCAAATATATGCCAGGTATTTTACTGGAAAAATGAAATAACTGTTAACATCGGATGACGCCGGGGGATGACGCAGTAGACAGACTGGAGCTGACGTGGTCCAGCGAACTGGAAAAGCAGCGCCCCCCTGCAACGGTGAGACCGTTCAGTTGAATAAACGCCCGAAGTAAAAGTGCAGGATAAAATTTAAAAGTACGCTTCACTGTAATAACTCTAGAATCACTTGATGCACTCTGAAGCGAATAGCAGACAGCTGCTGTTGCACTTTTTCACCTCCAGTTAGTTGCTCGAGACTCCCGCAGCTGCCCGGTCTCTAATTGCAAAAGGCCAGTCGTTACCTAGATCAGCAACCTCAAGAAATAAGAGTCTCCTGAGACTGTAAAATAACGAGCATTCTTTCAAAGGGTTCTTAAGGAAAGCTGCAGCAGAGAAAAAGTAGTGTGGTCAAGCCACAACTCTTGTCCACTCAGCCCCTGTTCAGGGCTGGTAATTACGCTGGCACGGAGAAGCATGACTCCAGGAATAACTTGCACAACATGGACCTATTTGTCTTTGCTTTTCAACATTTTCTGCTTCCATCTCGAGCCGCGTTTGAGTTGACGAGGCGCCCTGGCTGTGATATCGATGACCCCACAAGTGGAGAGGCACAAGCTGTCCACTTGGTCATACGCTAATAACCGTGTGGGCAGTTCCTCTCATCATGAAGTAGCAATTAGCCAGTAGTTATTTTGCTGTTAATCTGCGGTGTAGTGGGGCTGCGTCGCAGACCAGGGCGCTCAGAAAGAGCTGACTCGAACTTGACTCACTGGTACAGTGCTTAGCTGTAGATTTTTGCACGCTAGAGGGACGAATTGCCCTCGTCATCACGACTAGCACAGTAAAGAAAACGAAATGAACTAGAAAACTCGAGGAACAGCTTGCTGTGTGCCGGCGGGAAGACAGGCAACGGGAACCGGGCTCGCGGGGAGCAGGTGTGTCTCACTGGTCCTGTTCTCTATAGCCATAGATAAAGCAGTGAGAGCAGATCTTTTTTTAGCAATGCAGAAGTTCTGTGGCGAGCAAAGCAAAAGTAGGCAGGCACGGGCGCTTAAAAACAGGCTGCAAGCTCTGCGGCCTGAAAAAAGGCTGAACACCACCGCCTTTTGCCAGGAGGATGCACACTGATTAAATAAGAGCTTGCAGAAAACAAGCCAAGCGTACAAAAGCCATTGGCATTGGATTCTGGACCGTTCTGCACTGACGGGTGCTGCAGCTTGGCGCACAGTGCCGGCAGTTGCAGTTGCTGCAGAGGACCCTGTGTACAAACTGTCCAACCATAGGCCGCTTTGCAGCATCGTAGGAGCAGCAAAGTGGCGAATTTTCCATTTAAAAGCAGGAATCGAACCTGTGTCTGTCCGGTAGCCAAACCTACGCTAACCTCTCCAAGGCGCAAAAAAAACTAGCCGCCGCAGGATGACCCGAAGGAATGCACTGAGTCTCTGGCGTCGGAAATATGGGGGTACGCATAAAAGAGCTCAATGAAGTGGAATAACCCTGCTCAAGAGAAAAGGGCAAAGCGCAGTACAACTGTCTTGCATCGAAGAGGAGGGCGGCAGGAAAAAGCAAAAGGCGTCTTCTTCTCGCCATGCATATTTTGGCCCCTGCTGCATCCTCGCTCTTCGATGGGCTGAAAAGAAAACGTCTTAGCCCCCATTTTGCTTGCTCAGAAACCTCGGAGGTGCATGGAACAGGTCCACAATTGTCTGAGCCCGCGCAGAAATAGCCTAGGTGCAGTAGAGCTTTCCCACAGGGGGTTATACGTAAAACTCAACTTCGTCCCCTTCTGCTCTTGACGGAAACCAGGGCTTTTCAGCTGAAGAGAAAAACGCAAAGATACAATGCCACTGGCCAGTGAGCGACAAGCCTTCAGTGTATTCCCTCTCACGCAACGAAATCACTCTATAACTGTGTAGGGTGTACTCATAATTATGCGTAGTGCACCATTTCGTGTACGTGAAGTATTTCAAAGAGGTGTCCGAGCATGAACACTGACGGTACATGTCGAGTGCTTGACTGCTGGAACTCAAACACTTCACTGCTGCAGGCGAGGAAACATCCCGAAATGAGGATTGAAGAGCAAGCATAAGCTGAGGTCCCAAAGGACGGAATGGAGCACACAGCTAAAGACTAAACGAAGAGAGGCGAACCATCTGGCAACGCAAGGCAAAAGAAGCTACAATCCGCATCCCGCTCCAACTTGTACTATACCGGCTTGGGCCGAAATCGAAAGTATAATTACAAACAGTCCAGTTTACTGCGGTTAAGACTCACCAACAACTGTTACAGTTACTTTGCCCCTTTCCCCCCAGGGGTATCTTAAACTAATATTGCATGTGCGTGCCATGTGCTCTCCATCTGCAGAGGATGTGCAACACAAATATATTCAGCCAGCCTTATTATTAATACCATTGTTACACACTACTCTGTTTTATTACATGAATCGAAGTAATATACAACAGTGTGGTCAGCAATCGTATGAAATAATGAATGACAAACGTTAAAAGCATTCGCCAGCTGTAGTAACAAGAGAGAACACGTAAAACCCAGCAGCTAGCATTCGTCGCTTTAAATGCTTTCTAACTTGTTCGCAGAATGCAGATGATCGCTGAAGCCTTTTTAAATAATTTGGTGACACCATCAGCAACCTTGGGATGGGCGCTCCTTACGCCTGCTGTGCACCGCGTCGGAAGCAGCAAGAAGGACCGCGCTTTGTAGAAGTTCTCCCAGCTTTTTTAATGCCTGCGTATATTGTGGAGCAAAAAGGAACTTCAACTGCAAAAGAAAAGCGACACTCTGGTAATTGCGACATTCAAGCTGAGCCGCTATCTATTCTGAGTAGTTTACCCTTTTCCGCGGCCAGCTGGGCGTGACTCCCTGCAATGAAAAAATCATACAAAAAGCGAATTTTCTGCGAAAAGCACAAAGTCTGGTATAACACCAAGTCCCAACGCACTGGGTTATGCAGAACCCACGAGAAGTGAAACTGGCAACTCACTTCGTGTTCAACAAAAATCTTCAGAGTTACTCCTGCATACGTGGTTCCAAAAACGCGTGCGTATGGTCCTGAAAAGTGCAGGTAAATAATTACATCATGTGCGAGGGCCGGATGAGATTCCTCAAGTCCCAAACCGTAAACCCAAAGAGCGCAGGTCCAGAAAGTTCTGGCAGTGGAGGTAGCAGAGCTTCACCTACCTACATTTCTTGGTCCTGAACTGCTTCTCATGCTGCAGATATGCGCCAGAATGCTCTGAAGAACATGCTTTGCCCCGCCATTTGCCTGAGCAGTGTAGACTCGGGCTCACAGCCTGCACAACTTTCAGCCCCAGCAGTCTGTTCCCAGCCTTTTGACATCAAAGACAAACGGTCTCAAATTCATTAGCGCATAGAAATGGATAAAAAACAGAAGGAATAAAACTGAGCCGTGCGTGCGCGCACTGCTTACATCGTTGCCTAGGATGTCGGGGAATTCAAAAAAGCTCTTTGGAGCAGTTGAGATAAGCGCAGAGGGTACAGGCACCTGATAACGTGCAGGGCCACGCTGATTTTCCGATGAGAGCTCTGCTGAGGCTGAGGAACTCTCAGGGTTCGTTGTGTCTTCGTGCATAAAGCACAGATCCCTGAGGCTTGGCCAGCGATGGTTAGACTGCATATTCCACAAACTCACACAGCAACGCAGTAGCGCCAATGGGCCACGAAGGACACAACAAATCCAGTTCGACGCCGGAGAAGTAGCAGCAGCAATAACAGCATCAATGGGAGTTGCGGCTGTTGCTGTTTTAACAGCAGGAACTATATCGTTCTTTTATGGTTGGGCTGTTAACGCTTCCGGCCTCACGCCATTTGCCAGTTTTCTCCCTGTACTCTTCCTCAAGCCACGGATTTGCACATTGCACCTCGTTATAAGGAAGAATACCACAGTGGCAATGATGAATGAAGCGAGAGCGACCGCCACCAGCGAGCGCTCACTGGTCTTTCGGGGAGAAGTGCGCCTTTTCAAGTTGAATATCGGGCTGGTGCCGTATTCATTTGAGACTATGTGACCTTCATCAACAGGAGAAGCCGAGAAACTCATCTTTTCAAGAGCTTTCTTCTCCGGTCTTGCTGCCGGAGCAAATGTGTAGGAAGGATGACCTCAGAGCTCACGCGCAGTCCGCGACAGCTCACTTGCTGTGCGAAGGAATGAAACAACGGAATTACATAAATGCTCTTTTGATATATTAAGAAAAACAACATGCTGACTTCTGCTGTACGGGGCCTAGGCGCGCCGATGAACAGAACTCATAGTTGCCGAGTCTCTTGTGAGAGCCAGTCACAACTCCCCTCGTTTGGGGCCCCAAGCACTCTTTCGCGTGTTGCTTGCTGTCTGCATTATGTAAATTAGTATCAATCAATGCGCAAAAATTCCTAACGGGTGTCTTTCGAGCTTGACAGCACTCTGGGCCTCGCAAAGTAATGCGGAAATCACAATTCGGCTTCAGATCTCCTTGCACGCTGTGAACTACCAGCAAGCATGCCCAACCCAGAAAGAAAACTACTCTTGGGAATTATGATCTAAAACACAACAGATTGCGGCGTTTGGGCCTATGTGTTTACGCGATTTCTTACAGTCAACCATCAAGTAGTTACTTGTGGCGGGCTCGCCGAAAGAGCCTTTGTGGTTCTAGCGTGCACTGAGGTCTTGTTTCTCTCAAACGTCTCTGTTGTTTTCAATATGTAAAATACCTTGCCCGCCAAGTGTAGGACACGAACTTATTCAATAAATAAATGGCAGTCGCCACAGAGAACCAGCGAGATTCACCGTATGTATTGCTGAGGACAGCAATAGGCTTGTAACTGCCGCTGTGACAAAGCGAATGTGATAAATAAAAGCCTTTGTGCAGAGATGAAGATTAATGCCGCAGAGAGACAATGGCATGAGGCATGGGACTCGCTAGGCAGCTGGAGCAATGCCTAGTACTGTGTCAGTAGGAAAGCGCTTTTGCTGTCCACTACTAAAAGGACGCATTCTCTGGGATTTCTTCTGCCTATTTCTAGATAGAGGCTTTTTATATGGGATCTGAAGGCGAAATTCCTCTGTTGTCATTGTTGTGGGTGGGAATGGGTGCGATTTCTGCCACCACCTCTCTCAGGAGCTGTGCCATTGACTAATTTTGGGGATTTTGAACTTGCTCCGACATCCTACTGAAACATATTCCTTGATAGTCTTTTTTTTAACTTAATTACTGAAGAATGAAGAAATTTATTTCTCTCCCGATGTAACAATAGCTCAGTCTCCCAACAGTGCTAGTCGGTCCTGTAAGCCTAATCCCTTGAAACGCCTTTACCGCATATTTGATGCTAGTCCCATCTCCGATTGGGCGTGAGAGCTTTTTTCATTGCTCTAAAGTTTCTCTTAATCACACTCTTTCACTTAGTCTCCCGCACCATGTTGTGTAAGAATAAACTATGTTACCAGTAGTTATTTTGATAAGCTGGGGCCTTTTGGGCATTCTTAAGGAAACGCTGCACCCCTGCTGAGAAAAAAGTTGAAGGAAAGGGCGAGACAGCGAATGCGGCAGCAGAAGAACAAACAAGAAAGAGGCAGCAAAGATCAGGAAAAGGAAGACGGAAGAGGACAAAGATGAACAGGAAATGGAAGACGCTGGCGCAATAGGAGGCAAGGGGGCACATGAGGAGTTAAGCAAAGGAGAAACAGAACATACAAGCTAAAAAACAAAAGAAAAGACTGCAAACGAGGGGGCGCACAAGACGTGATTCCCTTAGAAACGGGACTCAGCTCTTCTTCACTGGTTGGGAAGCATCTTATTTGAAGGACATCATTTTGCTGGTACAACCACGTAGCCTGGACTCAAAGAGGAAAGAGCGGGTCTAAATACTTTGCTCATTATGGAGAAGGAATGCTTAAGCTATGTCTGCTACCCGGATAAGGCTGCTGCCCATGTTCTTCCGTGAACGAAAGCACAACAACTTCCTTTGCGTGCCGCTCTAAGAGGATATGCATCAGGGAAATACCCTGCTTTTCATATAGAGAAACATAGCGGAAAGATCCAGCTTGCCAGCTGGACTTGCAAAGAAGCCAACCGCTGTCCTGCAGCGTTCATTTCCCCCCTGAGCTACAACGTGCCGATCTGGAAAAAGTTCATCACATAACAGATTAGAAACAGGCTACAAAGAAGTAGAAGAGTGGTTCTTAGACTCTTGTAATCTCCTACTGCTTGCTCCAAAACCGCTTTCAGGGGAAGGCAAATTCTTCTTCCGAGAGAAACTGCTGTGCCAACTGAGGCATGCATGACGCGAAAAAAGGTAACAGTTTAAATCTCTGCAGCAGCGCGACACTTTGTTCAATATCCCTGAGATGGACACAGGACAGGCAAACTAACTGGCTGGTTTCTTTGGCTTCTTTCCTCTTTAGTAGGGATCCTAGGGAATCTCGATGGCTTTTCTATTCAACTTGGAGGTTGCGCCCACCTCGAACTTCAAAAGATTAAGCTTTTTCAGGAAGTTCCATTTGTTGAATATGCACCTGGCAAATGCCTGCACGCCTCTTTGTTCCCCTATAAAGTTATGCAGCGTGCTTGCAGGCGAGCTTAAGTTCTATAACTTGCCAGCGAGTACGATGACGGTTTGATCTTGTCTTTGGATGATACCACTTAAAGCTAGTCTTCGTGGAAATTCATCTGTCTTGCATTCTTGACGCCGATCCGGCGTGCCATTTGGAATGGCAGTAGCAACTTGCCTCTTTCGCATTTTGCAGTTTCCGAATCGCGCCCAGCTGATTCCACTGCAGGCGAACTACAAGTCCCATAGCCTCGAAATCCCCTTTTTTTGTTTTTGGCCTCAACTGTTCATAAATTCCTTTCCTTTTTAAAGGAATGCCACGGTCTTTTGTGGCATATTTCCGCTAAGTCGGTGTAGGGAGGAAGGAAGTCCAATGCCAGCACTGCAGTCCACTTTTCCGCTGCTGCCATAACTTGTGATTTCCATGATTTGTGATGTTCTGGCGATTTCTAGGGAGCCAGGCATCGCGTGCGAAAGTCTAAAAGTTGTTTTGATGAAGCGGCCGAGGGCAGTTCAGACAGCATTGCGTTGAAGTTGAAATGCAGAATTTTGGAGGATACTGGGTGAAAAAAGACCGAACTATCATAGTTACAAGGCGCACCTAGCCGTCTGCATACTTTGAGCTGCTTAACGAATGCCTAATGGGACTGTGCTGCTCTAAGCAGCAGTGAAATTATGAGAAGTCTCCGCATCCCCCTCACAAAGGGTTCAGAAGTCTTTGGCCGGATTAAAGGGTATCTTGCACACTGTCGCATTTGTGACAGCCATAATGATCGTAAAAGCTGAAATTTGGCAAAGCTAAGCTGTTGTTCAAGATAGGATTTCTCAACGCAGTGCACTTTCCCTGCGGGCAGGTGCGCGCAGGGGATTCAGACAGAGCTAGAAGTAACTTATGAGCCCTTAAGCTTGAAGAGCAGTTGAAAGCATTTTTTTGTGAGGCCGCAGAGGGCCTTCGGCGCTGTAGGGCCCTCTAGGGCCCCGGGGAGCCCTGCAGGACCTTCTGGGGCCCCCTGATTCCCCCAAAGGGCGCCGCAGGGCCCTACAGAGCCTTCAGGGGCCCCCTGAATGCCCCTGAAGGCTCTTCGGGGGCCTCCTGAAGGCCCGTGGAGGGCTCTGGGGGGCCTCGGGGGGCCCCTAAGGGCCGTCAGGGCCCGGTGAATACCCAGGGCCCGTCCGGCTGCTGCCGCACGACGTGGCCGTGCAGCAAAAGGTTCTGCCACTTGTCCTTGAGCTGCGAGTTGCTGCGGCTGCCCAGCACGGCCCCGTAACACTTCTCTATTTGCCGCCAGCTGCCCACGCCCAGGTGGTTCACAGCCTCCACAAAGGCTGCGGTCTCGGCGGGGGACCAGCGGCTCCGGGCCCTGCAGCAAAGGCAACAGACCAGTGGACCACTGCAGCGCAGCGCCAGCTATTCGCCAGACCCAGAGGCGAACCACTGGACCACTTCAGCTCAACAAAGGCCCCAACGAAGCTGCGCAGGCGCCTCGTAGCGACGGCCTGGGTACTGGGGCCTCGCTGCATGTTTCAGCCACAGTCGAACACGCTAGTGCTGCTGCTGCTGCTGCAGCAGCAGCTTCTGCTGCTGCTGCTGCTGCTGTTGCATGCTCACCGTTTGCCCTGGGTACTCGAAAGGTCGTCTTGGGGTCTTTGATGTTTCACTCTTCCATCCACTGAAGCAGCAAAGCAACACCCGAGGCAGCAGCAAAGGCAGCACTAAGGCATTTGACTCTAGCTGCGCGCGCTCCCAGCTACTGCTGCTTCTGCTGCAGCTTCTGCTGCTCTTGCTACTGCTGCTGCAGCTGCTGCTGCAGCTGCTGCTGCAATTGGTAGATATACAGGCACTTGGCCTTAAGGAATTCGTGACAGAAAACTTACGGGACGAATGGCGGTCGCCCCCGTGGTTGCTGTATCGCTGCTGCTGCTTCGCGGGCCCATCTCTGCAGCAGCAGCAAGCAGCAGCAGATAGCAGCAAACAGCAGCAAGCAGCAGGAGACACACAATTGCCCGCCCCAGGCCCTCATGGGCTGCAGCAAAGCTGGGAAAAGACACTAAAGGAACAGCAGCTTCTAAGAGGGAAGGGAGTTTCCGAGCCAGAGGAAAGGATAGAGAGGAAACGCAAATGAGCGAAGAAACAGCAGCAGCAGCAAATAAACAGAGGCAGCACCAGCAGCAAACGAATAGAGGTAGCAGCAGCAGCAGCAGGCGCTGAGGTGGTGGGGCCTCACTCGTCGGCAGCGGCGACTGCTTCTCCACCTCTCAATAGGCTCCACTGCTGCTGCAGCGCCGGCTGCTGCTGCTGCTGCTGCTGCAGCGTTTCCAGCTGCTTTGGCTGCTCCTGCTGCTGCTGCTGCAGCGGGTAAGAAGAGTCCGCCCGAACCTGGCAGGAAGCACGGCTCTTTCCATCAGCAATGGGGCCCGTGAACAGGCCCCTGCTGGGGGCCCCCGGGGGCCCCCCACTGCCAGCTGCTGCTGCTGCTGCTGCAGGAGCAGTTGGCCGGCGCACCCACGGCAGCTCTCTTCGAACAGCAAAGGGGCCTTGAGGTGTCCCCGAGGGGCCCCTGGGGGGCCCCCCTCTTGCATCATCCTGTGGAGCCCGTCCTTCTTCTGCTTCTTCCGGTGGCGCTGCGACTGCTGCTGCTGCTGCTGCTGCTGCTGCTGCTGGTTGCTGTGTCGCTGCAGCTGCTGCAGCTCTTCTCTTGCTGGCTTCCCTGTAAGCTATTTGGGCGGCAAGCGCTGCGGGTAAGTGGCAGGCTTTGCTCTGCTGCAGCTGCAGTGCCGCAGCCTCCTGCTGCTGTTGCTGCTGCAGCTGCTGCTGCTGCAGCAAAAGCTGCTGCTGCTGCTGCTGCTGCAACTGCTGCTGCAGCAGCATCTCCACCTGCGTGCGCTGAGAAGCCCACGTAGCGTGCCACAGCAGCAAATGGGGAGGCGGCAGCGCGCGGCATGCCTCCTTCACAAACTCACATATTTGCTGCTGCACTGCAGCAGCAGTTACATGCAGCGGCTGCTGCTTGGAGTCCCTGGCAGCAGGCGCCGGCGTTGCTGGGCTAGGTGCAGCAGCAGGCAGTGCGGATTCGGCAGCTGCTGCTGTTGCTGCTGCTGCTGCGGCTGTTGCAGCTGCTGCAGGCGTTGCGGGCTCTGCATCTGGCGCTGCAGCTGCTGCCGCTTTTGTGTCCGCTTGCTTCGGTGCTGTCGTTGCTGTCTTTGTTTCTGCTGCTGCTGCCGCCTCCGTTCGTGCTGCTGCTGCCGGCAGCTCTGCTGCTGCTGCTGCTGCTGCTGTTGACGCAGCCTGAGGTGCTGCCCCAAGCTCGTCGCTCTCTAGAGGCCTCTTGTCCCCCTTAGGAACGTCTCCTGCTGAACTTGGCTGCTGCTGCTGCTGCTGCTGCTGCTGCTGCTGCTCCGGTTTCTGCTGGCTGCACTGCTCTAGCGCATCCGCCTGCGGCTGCTCCTGCTGCTGCTCTTGCTGCTCTGGCTGATGCTGCTGCTGCTCTGGCTGCTGCTGTGTTTGCTGCTGCTCTGGCTGCTGCTGTTGCTGCTGTTGCTGCTGCTGTTGCTGCTCTGGCTGCTGCTGCTTCTGTGCCTCCTTCTCAACTTCTGAAATATCAGCTGCGGCCCCACGGGTCGGCGGCACTTTTAAGGGACACTCTTTGTTGTTGCTGCTGCCAGGATGTGCTGCAGCAGCTGCGGGTTTCTGCGTAGAGGAGGTGGGGGGCCCCGTTGCTGCTGCGTCTGCCGCAGAACTCTCTTCTGCTGCAGCAGCAGACGTAGCAGCAGCAGCAACGGGGGCAGCAGCATGTGCAGCCCCAGCCTCACTTGTTTCCTCCTCCTGCAGCAGCTCCAGCAGCGCTGACACGGACACCCACAAACCATCTGGCTGCTGCTGGGGGCCTTCAGCAGCAGCAGCAGCTGCTGCTGCGGGCCCTGCAGTCTTTGCGTTAGCTGCAGGAGCTGCAGCAGCAGCTGGGGCCGCAGAGGTTGCGGCAGCAGCATCCGATGCAGCAGCAGCAGCTGCTGCAGCATTAGCAGGTGAAGCAGCATCCTTTGCTGGCGCTGCAGCACTAGCAGCATGCGCTGCATCACTAGCAGCAGGCGTTGCTTGTGCAGCATCAGCAGCAACTGGTGGGTCGGCAGCAGCAGCTGCTGCTGCTGCTGCATCAGCAGCAGGAGAGGAGGCTCTCTGTTGCGAGTCTGCTCCTGCAGTTGCGCCACTGCACTTGCATTTGCCCGGCAAGCAGCAGCAGCTGTTGCTGCTGCTGCTGCTGCTGCTGCTGCTGCTGCTCATTCTGCTGCTGATCGCTGACGCAGACTGAGGGTAAGTCTGCCGCAGCAGCCGCACAAACTCTCCGAGACTCTGGTCAGCTGCGACGCGCGCAGCAGATGCAGCAGCAGCGGCAGCAGCAGCAGCAGCAGCTTCACTGGGGATGTTAGCCCACAGGTGTTCTGCCCCTCCTTCTGCTGCTTCTGCAGCAGCAGCAGCAGCTGCTGCTGCTGCTGCTGCGGAGGAGGCAGGCGACTCGCCGTCAAAGACGCACAGTGCACCCTGCAGCCACAGCGCTCCGGAGACTGCAGCAGCTACAAAGCGTATATTTGCAGCAGCAGCAGCAGCAGCAGCAGCAGCAAAACAACAACAGCAGCAGCAACAGGCACACTTGCACGGCAGCAAAAACCAAAGCACTACTGGCGAGTCCCGCAGCACGCAAGAACCAGCAGCAGCAGCAGCGGCAGCAGCAGCAGCAGCAAGCGCAGCAGTAGAGCCAGCAGCAGCAGCAGCAGCAGCAGCAGCAGGGTCACCTACACCGGAGGGCTGGAGACAAAGGGACACCTGCAGCATCGCGTTGCTGCACTGCAGCAGCAAATTCTGCAGGCTCAAACAAATGCCCACAAGAGCTGCTGCGTCTGGGGGCCCCCAGTGGGGGCCCCATCTGCGCAGCAGCAAGGAGACGCGGCTGCTGAGGGCAGCAGGGGGGCCCCTCGCTGGGGCCCCTGCTGCAGCAGCACAAGAGTCCGCGCCGGCTGCTTTTGCTGCTGCTGCTGCTGCTGCTGCTGCTTCCTGACTGGTCTGCAGCAGCAGCAGGTCCCGTGCTGCCTCCGCCCCAAAGAGAGAGATGAAGTCCCAGAAGGACGGAAACCCTTTGCGCGGCTCCTGCTGCTGCTGCTGCTGCTGCTGCTGCTGCTGCTGCTGCTGCTCAGGGGAGGCCGGCGTGGAGTCCTCCTTGGCAGCAAACTTGAGGGACCCCACAGGGGGCCCCCCCAGCTGCGTAATGATGGCCAAGTAAGAAGAGCCCAGCAGCAGCAGCAGCAAAGAACGAAAAAGAGAAGCCCTGCTGACAGAAAGGGAGAAGGGGCCCCCCAGGGGGCCCCCCAGGGGGCCCCCCAGGGGGCCCCCCAGGGGGCCCCCCAGGGGGCCCCCCAGGAAGCCCCCAAGAGCTGCTTGCTGCTGCGGGGGCCCCTCTGGGGCCTTTTCAAAACCCTCCAGCTGCAGCAGCAGCACCACCATGGTCTGCAGCAGCGCTGCAGCCAGGGGCCCCTCGCGCTGCGTTCCGAGGGCCCCAGCAGCAGCAGCAGCAGCAGCTGCTGCTGGGGCGTGTGCAGCAGAGAGCCCCTCGACCGCCAGCCACTCCTGCCGCCGCCGCCGCTGCTGCTGCTGCTGCTGCTGCTGCTGCTGCTGCTGCAGCGGGTGCACGCAGGTGAAGCAGCAGCAGCTGGGAGAGGTCAGCAGCGCGTGGGCAAACATGTCCGACAGCAAAATGGAAAAAGAGGGACTGCTGCTGTGGTGGGGGCCCCTCGGAAGGGGGGGGAAGGGGCCCCCATCCTCGGGGGGCCCCCCCAGCAGCAAATGGTAAGACCAGATCTGCCGCCGCAGCTCGCTGCTGAGCCGCAGCAAAAAGGAGTCGTCTAGGGGGCACCAGCAGCAGGGGGGGCTCGGGCCTGCTGCTGCTCGCGGCTGCGACTCTGACGGCGTCGCTGCTGCGGCTTCTGCTTCTGCTGCTGCTGCTGCTGCTGCTCCCGAAGGGCCGGGCCGCGGCCCCGCACGCCTTGAGAGACAAGCCTGCTGCGCTGCCGCTTCTGCTGCTGCTGCTGCTGCTGCTGCTGCTGCTGCTGCTGCTGAGGGCTCCTCAGCTGGGGCCCCCAGGCCACTGCAGGGCCTCGGCTGCAGCTCCTTCGGCGCAGAAGGCGTGGCATCTACCCACCTTGTGTGCTGCCCGTAGCAGCTTGGGGTGGCAAGGGGGCCCCTGGGGGCCCCCCGTGAGACGACCGCGGCCCTCCATCTCCCTGTAGTGAGGCCAGGGAAGAACAGGGAGGACCCCAGAGGCTTGGCAGCCGCCAGGAGCCCGTAAAGCGCGGGGGGCCCCCAGAGGCAGCAGCTGCGACTTTGGCGCTGCAGCGCAGCAGCAGCAAGCGGAAGGGGAGGCTTGGGGGCCAACGGAGGCCTATGGACGAAAAAGAAAGAAGTAATTATATATTTTTTGACAAAAAAAGCCAAAAAAAGGAACTTGAATCTAAAGAAAAGCTCCCGAAATGCAGCCGCCGCCGCCGCTCCCAACCCGAACACCAACCAACCCCGGCTGGGGGGCCCCCGGGTGGTGGGGGCCCCCCGGCGGCCTGGGGCCTTTTGAAGCGGCTTGAAGCTGCAAAAGCCACAAATCTTTTCAATTTATTCAATTTAATGCCATTTAGACAATGAAAAGAGAGTTTTTTGCTGCAGGGGGGGCTGCTGGAGGCTGGGCAGTTGGCTCGCTCCGCAGCTGCTCTCTGCTGGTGTGTGTTGCTTGCTGCAGCTCCCCGGTCCCGGGAGGCCACCGGAGCTAAATTTCCCTTTCTTTTCAATTTAAACACTTTAATTCCTCGACAAATCAACTTAATATCCTTTTTATTTTGAATTTAGAGCTTTGGACTCCCGAAAATGGCCCCAAGCCTCGGAAGCGGCTCCCGGCTGGCCCAGGAGAGGAGGAGGTGACCCTACCCCGTAATGGGTGTTCCCCTACAACCTGGGGGCCCCCCGGGGGGCCCCCAGGCGGGGGGGCCCCTCGGGGGGCCCCCAGGCGGGGGCCCCCCGGAGAAGCAAGTTGTGGAGTAGAGGGGCAAAAAGGGCAAAAGGAAAAGAAATTTGTGAAGTTGTATTTATTAAATTGGGGGAAAAGCCGGAGAAATGCTCAAGACAAAGCAGTCTTTAGGGGGCTGCTCAGAGAGCCCCTGGCCCCCCTTCTGCACACAAATAAATGCATTAATTGAATTAAATGTTTTCATTAAAAAGAATTTCCAAAAAAGTCATCTGAAGGGGGCCAGGCCACTTCTGGGGTGTCTGTACATACACCCGGTTCAGCTCCAGTGCACCCCTCTCGGCTTCTTTCACTTTCTTCCATTTCATTTTATTTTCTGCTTTTTTCCAAATCCCTTTTGTCTCATTTAATTTCATCTTTCTGCATTTATTCTCAAGTCTTTTTGTCTCTTAAATATTATCTTTTCCCCCAGTTCTGTTGCTGCTGCATGCAGCAGCAAAAGGCTTTTCTCCAGACCCCACTTGCAGCTCGAGAGTTCTCTTTTATTTGTTTTCATAATTTATTTAATTTACTTTTTATTTCTTTTATTTCATTTTATTTATTTTGTTTTCATTTGCTGCCAGCTGGGCCCCTCGCTGCTGCAGCGGGCAAAAGCCACCCTGCCAGCAGCTGCAGCAGCACAACCAAGATCCGCTTTGCGGCCGCTCCAAACCCTAAACCCTAAACCCTAAACCCTAAACCCTAAACCCTAAACCCTTGCTCCAGCTCCTGCTAGCTGCTGGCACTGCCACAGCAAATGCGTCCTTAAATATCTGTAAAGGCCGGGAATACTCCGCAAAGGGGCCCCCTCCAGGGGGCCCCTCGGAGGGGCCCCTCCAGGGGGGCCCTCCAGGGGGCCCCTCGGGGGGGCCCCTCCAGGGGCCCCTCTAAGGGGCCCCCCTCGGAGGGGCCCCTCTAAGGGGCCCCTCCGAGGGGCCCCTCCAGGGGCCCCCCTTAGGGGATTCTCCAGGGGGCCCCTAAAGGGGCCCCCTGGGGGGGCCCCAGAAGTTAATGAAGACGGCCGGGGGCCCCTGGGCCCCCCTCGAAGGCCTGAGGGGCCCCCCGTGGGGCCCCTGGGGGGCCCCAAGACAAGTGCTGCTGAGGAAAAGAAAAAATGCTTTTGCTGCTGCAGCTCAGCAGCTGCAGCAAGCGTGGGGTGTACAGACAGCTGAAGGCTGGAGAGGCACTGCAGCAGGAGAAAAGGCGTGAAGCTGATGCAGCAGCTGCAGCAGCAGCAGCAGCAGATGCAGCAAGCAGCAGCAAAGAAGAACTAAAAGAGACGAAAAGGCATTTAATGCTTCGGATAAGAAAGAGAAAAAAAGAATAAATAAAAAGAAAAATGAGAGATAAATGCAAAGAAAAGGAGACAAGTCTGAAGAAAGAGACAATTATATACAGAGAACACCAAAGTATTCAAAAGCTGCGCCGCCGCAGTCCTTCTGCTGCTGTTGCTGCTGCTGCTGCTGCTGCTGCTGCTGCTGCTGCTGCTGCTGCTGCTGCTGAGGGTTACGACGGTGTGAAGAGCTGCATGCGTCGCCTTATGTTGATGTCCAGCGCCTTCCACTCGTTTCTCTCGGGAGTACAAAAAACGATCTTGAGCCTCTGTTGCTGCTGCTGCTGCTGCTGCTGCTGCTGCTGCTGCTGCTGCTGCAGCCAGCGGTGTGCTGCTGCAGCAGCACAGTACGCTGCAGCATGCAGCGGGTAGCCACCCGCGCCCGTGCCCAGCAGCGGCAGCGCCACTGTCTGCAGCTGCAGCGCAGCAGCAGCAGCAAGTGCTCTGCGGTAGCAGCACTCCAGCAAGTAGAGGCGGGGGGCCTTTTCTTTTCTCCGCTGCTCAAACTCCTGCTGCTGCTGCTGCTGCTGCTGCTGCTGCTGCTGCTGCTGCTGCTGCTGCTGCTTGCGCTGGAGCCGCGCCTCCGCCGCGTCGCAGTCAATCAGCAGCAGCAGCTGCTGCAGCAGCTGCTGCTGCGTCAGCACAGCATTGGGCTCCACGCAGTGCAGCAAAAACAAATGGGGGGCCCCAAAGCCTGGGGTCACCACGAGGGCCCCGGGGCGCAGCAGCTGCTGCGGCGGCAGGGGCCCCCTCTCTGCTGCTGCTGCTGCTGCTGCTGCTGCTGCTGCTGCAACAGGGTCACTGCTTGCGCTGTTCAGCGCAGCGGCGGCGCTGCGCGCCGCCGCTGCTGCTCCTGTTGCTGCAGCCGCTGCTGCTGCTGCTGCTGCTGCTGCTGCTGCTGCTGCAGCGTCTGCTGCAGCAGAAAGTGGCCACTGCTGCTGAAGCTTGGGGGGAAGCAGCGACGCATGCAGCTGCCGCGCAGTCGCGAGGAAAGAGTCGACGGCTGCTGCCGCAGCTGCTGCGTCTTGCTGCTGCTGCTGCAGCTGCAGCGGCACCTGCTGCTGCTGCTGCTGCTGCTGCAGGAAAGCCTCCAGCCAAGGCCCTGCTGCTGAAAAGAGTGCAGCAGAACCTCTAAAGCCCCGGCCCTCCCCATAAATGCGCAGAGACCTGTCTATGCCTACTACGGCGCCGCAGGACTTCAACTTGGAGAGATCTGAGCAGCAGCAGCAGCAGCAGCAGCAGCAGCAGCAGCGGTGGAGCAGCAGGCTTTAGCGGAAGCAGTACACGCGGCGCACGCGCAGCAGCAAGTGAGGCGGCAGCAGCGGGCTGGAAACTTGTAACGCCGAGGGGATGCGGCTGCTGTCCATTTCTAAAGGGGGGTCACTTGGAGCGATCACCTGCCACAAACCCTAAACCCTAAACCCTAAACCCTAAACCCTAAACCCTAAACCCTAGATTCTAAACCCTAAACCACAAGACCTTGCCTAAGCGTCAAGGACTACGCCTCGAAGCAACAAAAGAACGCCTGATGGGACTTGCTGCAGCTGCAAGGAGCTCCGGAGCCTGGGGCTTAGGGTTTAGGGTTTAGGGTTTAGGGTTTAGGGTTTACGGGTTTAGAGAAAGCCTCGACGCGCTTCAGCAGCAGCCGCTGCAGCTCGCTCGAGGGTTCTTCTTTCTTTTTCTTTTTTAGTTTTCTCTTTTCCAGAAACCCCGGAAACCCACTAGTGGGTATGTGCCGAAAGTGCCGCTGCTGACTCAGCAGCAGCAGCAGCAGCAGCTGCTGCTGCTGCTGCTGCTGCTGCGCTGCAGGCAGCAGCAGCAGCCGAGAGGGGCCCCTTAAGTGGCCCCAACGGGGCTCCTCTAAAGGGCCCCCACCGGAAGCCACTCTCAGAGGGCCCGGGGGGCCCCCCATGGGGCCCCCCAAGGGGCCCCCCAAGGGGCCCCCCAAGGGGCCCCCCAAGGGGCCCCCCTGAAAGCCAACGTGGGGGGCCCCCAGGGGGCCCCCCAGGGGGCCCCCGTGGAAGCCAACATGGGGGGCCCCCAGGGGGGCCCCCGGGGGGCCCCCCAAGGGGGCCCTAGCCTCCGGGATGGCAGCAATGGAAGCAGAAGCGCGCTGCAGGGCTGAAGAGGGAAGTCGGGGTCCCGCAGCAGCAAACATTTTCAACTCTAAGAGCAAATAGCTCTAGAGAGAAGCAGCAGGAACACCAGCCCCGTGGCTGCTGCTGCTGCTGCTGCTGCTGGTCGTCCTGCTGCAGCAGCAGCTGCTGCTGCTGCTGCTCGTGCTGCAGGTGCTGCAGCCGCTCCACCAGCTGCTGCTGCTGCTGCTGCAGTGATGCCCGGCGCTGGCGGTTCTGGTAGGCGAGCTGCGACGGCCCCTGCGCGAAAGAAGCCGGCCCAGCAATGCTGCTGTGGCGCTGCTGTTGCATGCTGCTGCTGCTGCTGCTGCTGCTGCTGCTGCTGCTGCTGCTGCGTTCTCAAGAACACCAGTGCTCGCAGCGGCAAAACAGCAGCAGCAGCTGCTGCTGGTTTGCGGCTCTCAGCGTGACTCTGTCTTTCTCCCCAAGCCCCCTGCCCCTAGCCAGCCATCCTTGTGCTGCTGCTGCTGCTGTTGCTGCTGCTGCTGCTGCTGTGCTTGTCGGGGCTGAGCGCAGCTGCCGCTGCTGCTGCTGCTGTCTGCTGTGCCGTCGTGGTTCTGGGGCTGGGAGCCTTCTGCTGCTGCTCTGTGACAAACCGCTAGCAGCAAATAATGAAATAAATAAATTAAATTTACAAAATAAATTCTCTCTAGCTGCAAAGATGAGCTTGAAAGGCAAAGGGGCCGTACGCGCAAGGCACTGTGCCTTGGCTTTCTGCACACACGGACTGCTGCTGCTGCTGCTGCTGCTGCTGCTGTTGCAGCTGCTGTTGCTGCTGGTAACCGTGTGGCTCAAATGCAGCTTTTTAAAAGAACGAAGGTGCACAGAAGCTCCAGAGCGGTTTGCTGCTGCGAGCAGCAGCAGCTGCTGCTGCTGCTCCTGATGGGGCCCCAAGAGCCACCCGCGCTTCTCTGCCTCCCTTATTTTTAGGGTTTAAAAGTTAAATCAAGGAAATAAAATTAAATTTAAATTTTATTTAAAAGGAAAACAAAATTTATTCTGTTCAAGGAGCTCAGCCCGCGGCACTACCGCGCAGCAGCAGGGTTCCAGAAACAGCAGAAAAAATAGAGCTGCAGCAGCACCAGATTTGCTGTTGCTGCTGCAGCTGCTGCGGCTGCTGAAGTAGGAGTGTTGCTGCTGCTGCTGCTGCCCCGTCTGCTCCCTTAGAGAGGTAAGGCAGCAGAGGGGAGAAAGTAATTTGTTTCAATGCTGCAGCAGCAGTAGCAGCAGCAGCAGCTGCTGCAGCGCCGCTGCTGCTGCCGCTGCTGCCCTGCATGGCTATAGTCCCACTAACTCTCAAAAGCTGCAGCAGCAGCATTCTCCCTAACATGCATCAGGGGGCCCCCCTAGGGTTACAGAACGGGAGGGGGCCCCCCAGCAGCAAGACCTACAGTGGGTGCCCTTAAACACCTCTTTGGAAGCCCCTAGGGGCCCCTGGGGGCCCCGGGGGCCCCTTGGGGGCCCCTGCAGGCCCTGTGGGGAACCCTGGGGGCCCTTTAGGGGCCCCTGGGGGCCCTTTGGAAGCCCCTGGAGGCCCTTTGGGGGCCCCTGGGGGCCCTTTGGGGGCCCCTGGGGGCCCTTTGGGGGCCCCTGGGGGCCCTTTCGGGGCCCCTGGGGGCCCTTTGGGGGCCCCTGGGGGCCCTTTGGGGGCACCTGGGGGCCCCACAAGGGATATCGATGGGGGCCCCCTATGGACAATGGCTGGGGTCTCGTAGACACATGACGGGGAGTTAAGCACACTTTTATGCGCTAAGCAGCAGCAGCAGCAGCAGCAGCAGCAGCAGCAGCAGCAGACCAGCAGCAGCAGCAGCAGGCGCAGCATGCACAGCAAGGGGCCCCGCCGCTAGGGGGGCCCCTGGGGGCCCCCCTCTTGAACAGAACTGAGATCTAATGGCTCCAGGGGCTCACGGCGGGGAGGGCGCTGCTGCTCACAGCCCGCCGCTGCTGCTGCTGCCGCTGCTGCTGCTGCTGCTGCCGCTGCTGCCGCTTCAGGCGCGGAAGGGCTGAGGAGCTGCTGGTAACTTTTGCTGCAGCAGCAGCAGCAGGTGCTGCTGCTGCCTTGTGCTGCTGCGGGGTAAAGCGCGGCCGTGAGAGACCAAGGCGAGGCAGCGCGCTGCTGCTGCTGCTGCTGCTGCTGCTGCTGCTGCTGCTGCTTTTGGCCCTGCTGCTCTTTCCCCCAGACACGGCTGCGGCTGTAGCCCCGAGCTTCCGCGAGGGACGTCCTGCTGCTGCTGCTCCCGTTGCCGCTGTTGGAGTGGGCTTTGCTGCTGCTGCTGCTGCTGCTGCTGCTGCTGCTGGGAGCGCCTGCTGCTGCAGCCGCTGCAGCTTCCGGTCCACCTGAGTCAAGAAACACTTTGCTGCTGCTCTGGAGTCAGGGTCTCCCAGCAGATTGCTGCGTGCTGCTGCTGCTGCTGCTGCTGCTGCTGCTTTTCGCTGCTTGTGGGCCTTCGCGGCGTGCTGCAGCAGCACCGGCGACCCAGGCGCTGCTTCCTCCGCTTCTGCTGCTGTCGCTGCTGCTGCTGCTGACACTGCTGCAGCGGCTGCTGCTGCTGCTGCAGTCCCATTCTTGCGCATGTCTGCACGACCTGGGGTGGAGCTGCTGCTGCGCCTGCTGCTGCTGCTGTTGCTGCTGCTGCCGCTCGCCTGTGGGTCGCTGAATATTTCCTTAACTTCTTGCTGCAGGCGCTGCCACAACTTTGGCTGCTGCTGCTTCTGCTGCTGCTGCTGCTGCTGCTGCTGGGACTGCTGCAGCGAATTGCTAGGTGCAAACAGAGCCCTATAGGGAGAGGGAACTGTGCTGCTGCAGACGCTGCTGCGTCTGCTGCTGTTGGCATCTGCTGCTGCTGCTGCTGCTGCTTCTGCTCCTCTGCACGCTTCCGCGATCACTTCAGTGCTGCTGCTGCTGCCCAGCAGCTCCAGCAGGCTGCTGCTGCTGCTGCCGCTGCTGCTGTCCTTTGCTGCTGTTGCTGTTCTTGCACCTTCGCTAGGCGACACCGCCTCTTCAAAATCGACGAGGTCGTCATCATCAGGTTGCTGCTGCTGCTGCTGCTGCTGCTCTTGTTGCTGCTGCTGCTCTTGCTGCTCTTGCTGCTGCTGCTCTTGTTGCTCTTGTTGCTGCTCTTGCTGCTGCTCTTGCTGCTGCTGCTGCTCTTTCGGCTGCTGCTCTTGCTGCTGCTTCTCCTCCATTTCACAAGAATCACACTGATCCACGAGCAGCACCTGCTGCCGCTTCTTCTGCTGCTTGTTGCTGCTTTGACCTGCTTGCTGCTGCTGCTGCTGCTGCTGCTGCTGTTGCTGCTGGGGCTCTTCGTCAGACAGTATGACTGTAACATCGTCCCCATTGCTATGTTTTTCTGCTTTTCTTGCTGCCGAGCCTTTCAGTGCTGCTGCTGCGCCTTCTGCTGCTGCTGCTGCTGCTGCTGCTGCTGCTGCTGCTGCGTCAGCTCTCGCTTCTGCAGCTGCTGCTGCTGCTGCTGCTGACGTTTCGGCTGCTGCTACTTCTGTTGCAGCATCTAAACGCTTAAAGGAAAGCCGCGGTCGCTTGTCCACGCTGTTGCTGCTGCTGCTGTTGCTGCTGCTGCTGTTGCTGCTGCTGCTGCTTCTGCTGCTGCTGTGACTGCTATCGGTGCTGCCACGCTTTCTCGGACGCACCTTCTGCTGTTGCTGCAGCTGCTCTTGCAGCTGCGCTTGCTGCTGCTGTTGCAACTCCTGCAGCTGCTGATGCTCCCGCTGCCCCTGTTGCTGCTGCTCTGTCTGCTGCTGCTGCTGCTGCTGCTCTGTCTGCTGCTGTTGCTGCTCCTTCTGCTGCTGCTGCTTTTTCTGGCGCTTCTGCTCCACCTTCTGCACAGGATTGAGCAGCTGGTGCTTCTGCCTCTTTTGCTGCCGATGCTGCACTTGCTGTTGCTGCTGTTGCTGCTGTTGCTGCTGCTCTGGCGGCGGTAGATGATGCTGTTGCTGCAGCTGCTGCTGCTCTGTTAGCCACTCTTGCTGCTGCTGCTGCTGCTCCTGCTGCTGCTGCTGCTGCTGCTGCTGAAGCACGTGAGGCAACTGCTGTGTCGGCGCGACTGAGAAGTCCACTGTTGATCTGCGGCTTCTCCGTCCGCTTAGAACGTCTGCCTCTTCTGTTGTTGCTGCTGCTGCTGCATCTTCCGTTGCTGCTGCTGCTGCTGCAGCTACTGCTGAAGCTGCTGCTGCAGCTGTTGCTGCTGTAGCTGCTAGAGCGTCTGTTGCTGCGGCTGCTGCTGTAGTTGCTGCTGTAGCGACTGCTGCTGATACTGGCGCGCCTTCTACTGCTGCACTTGCTGCTGCAGCAGCAAGTGCAGTAGTAGAAGATGAACTTGCTGCAGCAGCAGCTGCTGCTGCTGGTACATGGGCCGCCACAAGGGCTGGTTCTGCTGTTGCCTCCTCCCGCACATCTGCTGCATTTGCTGCTGCTGCTGCGGCTGCTGCTGCTGGCGCCTGCTCGGTGAGCTTTGGCTCAAGAGCAGCAGCTGCTGGTGCTGCTGCAGCTGAAGTTGCTGCTGTCGCTGCTGCTGTTGCTGCTGCTGCTGCTGCTGCTGCTGCTGCTTCTTCTTCCTCGGAGTCGCTGTAGCTGCTGCCGGGCCTTAGCAGCATATCTATATCGAACGCCTCCGCTAGCTGCTGCACCGGCGCGCTGGCCTCTTCCTGCTGCTTCTGCTGCTGCTGCTGCCAGTGGTCCGCAGCAGCAGCAGCAGCAGCAGCAGCAGCAGCAGCAGCATCATCGGGGTGGGGCGCGCAGCAGAAGGGAAGATAGGCAGCAAATCTCCACGTGGGTGTCTGCAGCAAAGCGGCGTAGGCGCATTCTATCCACTCCGTTGTCACAGGCACGCTGCCGCTCTTGCTGCCTTTCCTGCTGCTGCTGCTGCTGCTGCTGCTGCTGCTGCTGCTGCTGCTGCTGCAGGGGGCAGCAAGCACTTTCCTCACAGCGTCGAAATAAAACCAAACGAAAAAACGGCCGCAGAGCTCGCGAATCAGAAGCCGCTGCAGCAGAGCAACATCGACGCCTTCAGCTGCCAGATCTGCAGCAGCAGCAGCAGCAGCAGCAGCTGCTGCTGCTGCTGCTGTTGCTGCTGCTGCCCCAGGGGCGGCGGTGGGGTCTTTTGGGGCTGCGGACTCAGCCGCCTCCCTGGCTGCTGACGTGGTAGCCTCATTGTTTCGCTCGTAATTTTCTTGCTGCTGCAGCAGCAGCTGCTGCTGCTGCTGGAGCTGTTGCTGCTGCTGCTGCTGCAGCTGCTGCTGCTGCTGCTGCGCCAGCAAGTTTGCGTAGTCCCAACACTTGTGTCTGTATATTCGCTTTCTGACGGGCTTCCACATTTTGTTGGGATTGAGGGGAAGGGCCTTGTCTTTTCTTAGCTGCTGCACGCAGCAGCAGAAGGTGACAGCCACGAGGTCTTGCGGCAGCAGCTGCAGCGCAGCAAAGTTGCTGCTGCTGCACGGCAGCGGCTGCAGCAGCTGCTGCGGCGGAGGGGTGCTGCAGCAAGAACACGGCAGCGGCAAGGCCAGGAAGGACCACTGGACCAGTTGCTTGTCTGTTGCTGCTGCTGCGCCGTCGCTGCATGCAAGCGAGGGCCGCCCAACATCGCAGCACTTCTGCTGCAGCAGCAGCTGCTGCTGCTGCTGCAGCAGCAGCTGCTGTTGTTGCATCTGCGGCACAGAGTGGGGGGCTTTGAGAGGCAGGGAGTGCCCTCCCTCGCAGAGAGGTATTGCTGGCATGGCAAAGGCTCGCTCGCGTCCCCTGCTGCTGCTGCTGCTGCGCTGCTGCTGCTGCTGCTGCTGCTGCTGCTGCTGCTGCTATTGCTGCAGCAAGTGAGGAGCTGCGCCCCGCGTTTAAGTGCTGCACATGTGGACAGGAGCAGCAAAAGGGGCAGTCATTGTCTCAGCAGCTGAAGGAAGAGGAGAGTCGAGAAGCAGCAAAGGTGGTGAGGTCGGTGGCAGCAGCAGGAACACGGGGCGATTCTCTCTTCCGCGGGCACCAAACTTCGCCGATTTGAATTAATTTATTAAATAAATATATTTAAAATTGAATTAAATTAATTTGGCAGCAAAGAAACGGCGGGAGGCGACGCAGACCCCAGAGTGTCTGCGGCAGCCCCAAGCCGCCGGGCTGCTGCTGACTGACAGCCAGTTGCATGCAGCCGAATTGCCCTTTTTGGAGATTAAAAAGTGAAATTAATAATTTAAATAATTAAAATAAAATTAGAGTTTTTGAAAAGACGCTGCAGCCACGAAGGTGCGCAGCAAACGCAGCCGTGGGGCGTGTGCTAGCCACAGAGCAGCAGCAGCTTTCTTGAACAGCCCCGCAGCGCTGCCTTCTGCAGCTTTTTCTCTTTTACTTTTTGTTATTAAAAGACTCTGCAGCAAACCAATCCCCAGGGCCTTTTCTGAAAGCCAGGATCTGCTGCAGCAGCCCAGACCCCAGCCTCTTGCTGCAGCTAGCTGCTGCGGGCCCCCCAGCCGCAGCAGCAGCAGCTCCCGCTGCAGCAGCAGCGCCAGCCCGGCAGCGAAGCTGCAGCAGCAGCAGCAGCGGCAGCAGCAGCACCGACAGCACCAGCAGCAGCGCTAACAGCCCCAGCACCAGCAGCACCTGCAGCAGCAACACCAGCAGCAGCAGCAGCAGCAGCAGCAGCAGCAGCAGCAGCTGCAGGAGGATGAGCGTGAATCCGATAGGGGTGATAGTGCCTGGGAACGCCTGCGCGTTCCCGCAGCAGCTGCAGGGAGACGCAAAGTGGCTGCTGGACTTAAAGCCTGCAGCAGCAGATGTCGTTTGCTTCTTGACGCAGCAAAACCAGCTGCCCCCAGACACAGGCATTGGCATTTACTTCGCGCTGCCCCCCTTCGCAGACTGGGAGGTCAGCAGCAGCAGCAGCAGCAGCAGCAGCAGCAGCAGCAGCGGTAGCAGCAGCAGCAGCGGTAGCAGTAGCAGCAGCAGCAGCGGTAGCAGTAGCAGCAGCAGCAATCTGCTGCTGCACTTTTGCCTTTCTGCGCTGCAGTTCTTGGGAGTGTTGACGAACAACAGGCCGAGCACTCTGCTGTCCACCGGCTGGCAAGCAGCAGCAGCTTTTGCTGCCTTTGCAAAAAAGCCAAAGACACCCAGCCTGCAGCAGCAGCAGCAGCAGCAGCAGCAGCAGCAGCACTGCGGGCCAAAGAAGTGCCTCAAATGCTTCTCGGGGCTGCGCCAGCCTCCGTTCATGTTTGCTTCCTTGCTGCTGCTGCTGCTGCTGCTGCGCGCAGGAATCTGCTGCCCGAGGCTCAGCAGGTGGACGGGGTGCGGCTTGGCTTGTAAGTGGCCTGGCCCGCCGTCATGAGGGATCGCAAAGTGCAGATAATGCAGAAAATAAATAAATAAAATAAAAAATTCGGAAATTTGAATTGCAAGGCCCAGCAAACTTGAATTCCGCCGCGGGCAACGGCGTGTGCAACTTCGGGAAAGCTTTCGTTTTCTGGTTTTCCGCTGCATCAAATCCTGCTTTTTCTGTTCAGTTTGCTGGAATCTGCGGAAAGCTTGACAGTGAAACTCGAAACGAAACCGATCGTTGACGCAAAAAAAGAATATGCGCGAAAAGTGGCATTGAATTTGTACCGGTGGGTCGCGTGCGCACTTGGGGTGTACAGACACCTCAGCTCCGGCCCTTTACTCTGCTCTTTCTAGTCAAGATCCACTTCTGTTCAGCTTTCACCATTTGAATTATTTTACAATTTTTGCGTTTTTTTGCAACTTTTGAACTTTTTTCTGTTTTTCTCGCTTCCAGCTACTTAGAATCGTTTCAAGGAGGCGGAAATCAGGCACTGCTGGACCGCTGGTTCGAACGGTGAGAAAAGATATTTTTTTTCTTCTTTTTGATTTCATAAATACTTCTTTTTTTTGTTTAATGCACAATTAGACATTTCCCGTTTCTAAACAGCTGCTGGGGCCAAAACAGCCCATAAACTCAAAAACTTGAATTCAAAAACTTGAATTCAAAAACTTGAATTCAAAAAGCTTGAATTCAAAAAACTTGAATTCGAAAAACTTGAATTCAAAAAACTTGAATTCGAGAGACTTGAAATTAAAGAAACTTGAATTCAGAAAACTTGAATTCAAGAATCTTCAGTTCAAAAAACCGGAATTCAAAAACTTGAATTCCGAAAATTTGAATTTCCGCTGCAGATTCGAAGCCAAGTACCGCATGGACCCGAACTTTGTGATGAAGAGCGAGTGAAGGCAGCAGCAAAGTTGCTGCTGCTGCTGCTGCTGTCTGCGGCGCTGAGAGCAGCAGCAGCAACTCCCGCAAAGGGAAGCAGCAGCTCCCATTCCGCCCCAGCAGCAGCACTTGCTGCTGCTAGCAGCATCCGCTGCTGCTGCTGCTGCCAGCAGCATCCGCTGCTGCTGCTGCTGCTGCTAGCAGCATCCGCTGCTGCTGCTTCTGCCAACAGCACCAGCCGCCTCTGCCGCTGCTAGCGGCATCCGTTGCTGCTGCTGCTGCTGCTGCCAGCAGCACCCGCTGCTGCTGCTGCGCAGCCTTTTCACTAAGGAAGCAGCAGCAAACTAGCTATTCAGCCCACAGAAGAGTCTTGCTGAATTTGTTAAGTCAGGGGGGCCCCCAGGGGCCCCGAGGGGCCGCAGCTCTGGGCTGCCCCCCCTCAGCTGCCAGGTAGCCGCAGCAGCAGCAGCAGCAGCAGCAGCAGCGGCAGCAGCAGCAGCAGCAGCAGCAGCAGCCCGTGGAATGCGGGGGGAGACAGTCCGAGCCCTTAGCCCTTGAAGCGCTCGCGCAGGACTTTTTTGTTTCCGCTTTGCTGCCAGCTGGTTAAGCTGTTGCTGCTGCTGCAGTTGCCGTTGCTGCTGCTGCAGTTGCCGTTGCTGCTGCTGCAGTTGCTGCTGCTGCAGTTGCCGTTGCTGCTGCTGCAGTTGCCGTTGCTGCTGCCGCTGCTGTTCTGCTGCGGCTGTTTTGCACTGCGCCGTTAAAGAGGGGGAAACGGCTGCTTTGAGCTGCTGCTGCTGCTGCTGCTGGCGCAGCTGTCGCTGCTGCTGCTGCTGCAGTCGCTGCTGCTGCCGCAGCAGCGCTGCTGCGGCCGCTGTTCGTAGCGCAGCCGCTACTGCTGCTGCTCATGCTGCTGCTGCAGATGCTGCTGCTGCTGCTATTGATGCTGCGGCTGCTTCCGCTGCTAATACTACTGCTGCTCAAGCTCCTGCTGCCGCAGATATTGCTGCTGCTGCTGCTACTACTGCTGCTGCTGCTACTACTGCTGCTGCTGATACTACACTACTGCTGCTGCTGCTGACACTGCTGCTGCTGCTGCTGCTGCTGCTGCTGCTGCTGCTGTTGCTGCTGCTGCTGCTGCTGCTGCTGCCTGCGGAGGCGCGCTGCCTGCGCAAGCATTCGCTGTTTGGCTTCTTCTGCGGAGAGGACTTCGCCGAGCTGCGCCTGCTGCTGCTCCTTCTTGTTGTTGTAGAAGTGCAGCAGCAGCACAGCAGCAAGCAGCAGCCAGAAGGCTGGGGAGCAGCAGCTCAAGTTCCGCTCCGGCAGCAGCAAGTCCCACAGCCGCTGGCTCTCCGCAGCCCGCTGCGCCAGCTGCTGCTGCGCGCTCGTTGCTGCTGCGCCCTCCTGCTGCGCTGCTGCTGCTGCTGCTGCTGCTGCTGCTGCAGTTCGCCCCGCGTCCGTGGGGGGGCTCGGCGCTGCCGCTGCGGAAGACTCCGCAGGCTGCTGCGGGCCGGTGCGAGAGAGCTGCTGCTGCGGAGCAGCAGCAGCAGCAGCAGCAGCAGCAGCAGAGCTGCCGGCGGCGGCTGAGCAGTGGCTGCGCAGAGAGGAAGGCCGGAGGCCTTGAGAGGCTCTTCCTGCTTGCTGCAGCACCAAGCAGCTGCGCGTGCTGCCGAAGAAGGTGCAGTTGCTGCTGCAGTTGCTGCTGGAGTTGCTGCTGGAGTTGCTGCTGCAGTTGCTGCTGCAGTTGCTGCTGCAGTTGCTGCTGCAGTTGCGCAGTTGAAGAGGCGCAGCGTGAGGGGTGAAGCCTGGAGTAGCAGCAGCTGCAGCAAGGCGAATTGAAGAGGCAGAGCCAGCAGCAGCAGCAGCAAAAGGAGCAGCAGATGCAGCAGCAGCAGCTGCAGCTGCTGCAGCAGTTCCAGCAGCAGCGGAAGAGTTGCGTGGGAAGAAATGTGGGACCGCCCGTAGGGCAGTCCTTAGCCCCCTCCGAGCAGCCATTTGCAACTAAAGAAGGCAATTAAATAAATCCATTTTGACAAATTTTGAATTAAAATTGAAATTAAAATTAAAATAAATGCATTTTGGAGCCCCGGGCGCCGGCGGCGGGCCCCGCCGGTGACTCAAAAAGCCCCGAAGCTTCTTTGTCTGGCTCCGTCTGCTGCCAGGGGATTTCTTGGCGTTTCCAAGTTGTTTAATTCATTAATTTGTTTTATTTTGAAACAATTAATTAATTTATTCAAAGTTTTCCCGCTGCTGCACTGGCTGGCTAGTCGGCGGCGGGCGGGCGCAGCAAGCTGCTGCTTTGTCTTCTTGCTGCTGCCTTCTTCTGCAGCGCAGCAAAGAATACCATTTGAGGCCTTCGCAGCGCTTTCGCCTTCTCCGCCTCCCAACACGGGCCGCCGCTGCTGCGGCTGCTGCGGCTGCTGCAGCAACAGCAGCAGCAGCAGCAGCCGCAGCAGCAGCAGCAGCAGCTGCTGCTGCTGCACTTTGCTTCGGCACTCACAGAAGCAGCCACTGCTGCGTCCACTTTTCTGGAGAGAATTTTCTCCATCTTCCCCTCGCCCTCTCCGCCTGCGGCAGTCTGCTGCTGTAAGATCGATTCTGGCTCGAAGCTGCAGCAGCAGCAGCAGCTGCTGCTGTTGCTGCTCCTGCTGCTCCTGCCGTGTCCCCGGCCCCCAGCCCGCCCATCAGCCGCTTCCCGAGACCAGCAGCAGCAGCAGCAGCAGCAGCAGCAGCGCCGCCACCGCCCCGAGCACGCAGCCCCCCCGCAGCGCCCCCGGCTCCGCAGCCGCAGCAGCAGCAGCAGCAGCAGCAGCAGCAGCAGCAGCAGCAGCATGGGGGCGCTTCCCTCTTCTGCGTACGGGCACTCCTCCTCGCCCTCCTGCCGCGTCGGAGAGGCCCTCCACTCCGGGCGCTTTCCCCCCCTCAGGGGCGAAGGCCTGGGCGGTTTGCTGTCGCTGCGGCGCAGCAGTTTGCTGCTGCTGCTGCTAACGGCAGCGCCAGCGCGAACGCCGGCGCACTCGCCGCGCCCAACGGCGTCAGCAGCAGCAGCAGCAGCAGCAGCAGCACTGCCAGCAGCAGCAGCAGCAGCAGCAGCAGCAGCAGCAGGCTTCCGTGCTTTGACGCCTGCCAGAACTGTCGCCGCAATTTGTGCGAAGCCCTCGTCATGCGGAAAGTGAGAAGTTCCTCTTTACTGAACTTCTGTTTTTCTATTTATTTATTTATTTATTTATTTATTTATTTATTTATTTATTTATTTATTTATTTATTTATTTATTTATTTATTTATTTATT